TTCCCAGGACGCTGCTTCAATGCCTCTCGGATACGCTGGACCGTAGCACCGTGGGTTTCAAAATCACCATGAGAAAAATTGAGTCTGAAATTAACAGCCTCAGCTACGATCATCACAAATGTAATAATTACCTCGCCACGTTCATACCCTGATCGATCATCTTTACCAAGGTATCAACATCCCAACATGATGGTCCCATAGTGCATATGATCTTGGTCTTCCTCCCAAAAGTATCACTAGGATTAGAACTCCACTTAGACAATGCCGCCATGTTATCAGATAGCACTATGGAAGCTTGACCATACACGCAGTGGTCCTTGATAAAACGTCCGGTGTATCCATGGGTCGACAACATTGTGGGAGACAAAAAACTAAATCGCCACAGACGAGGCTTTCACCGTAGTCCCCGGACTGCGCAAGACAGTAGCGCGCGCCCATTCAATCGATTTGTGGGGGTTCCATTGCTGTGGTAAGTCCATGGATATCAGTAAATTGCCGGAATAACAGCAACGATTCATTGATGTCTGATAATCGGATAAGTTTCACACAAGAAGGAGACTCCATGAGCCCAGTTCGTGCAGCCATCAGGGTGAAGTTACTGAATTTCTGGCGGCCAGAAGTGAGCGACTGTTGTTGGCAATCACTTGTTAATCTTTCTCATACCGGCCGTCTGTAATGTATCAGCTCAGTGATCGGATCATTGTATCGTGATGCTGATCAGGGCTTTCGACTCCTCTCCAAATCTCAACGATATCTCATTTCCTCTTCAAATTCCCACTTTTGGTGGAAACTGAACGATTTTGGAAGGCTCTCATATACTGGCTTGGCGATCTGTTGCCCTTACTAAGGCGAGTCGAATGTCCCAGTGTTCAAGACCTGATCGCTGGGTGCCTGATAAAATCCTGATACATGAGCTTTGCGGAAGAACTTGATGACACTATCCAATGAGAGGCAATATCATCAGATAAATAATACCTGATTTCTATCACAATAGTGTCACTAGCGTAATGCTCGGGAAAGGGGAAAGGGCATCCCAGAGCACGGAAGCTCATCTCCCACACGATGAGAGATCATCACAGAGTTCATTGGAGAGATCACTAATAACAAGAAAAGGGCAAGACATGTAAGGCCTACATGCCGGCCGCCATCCCCTGTGGGGAATGTGTCTAATGTATCCCCTAACTGATCGGTCGCTTATGTTGACATGATCACCTACAGTGGCTACTTAATTTCTGGTAAATCTTGGGCCTACCATAAGATACCACTCCTGCGCCTTTTCATGTAATTATTTCCACTTCATGATGGAGCCTTCTGCCCTAGATGGTGTTATGTCATCGTCATCATCATCAACCGGAGGGGATGCCCACCAGATAGTACGACCGTCCTTCCCTGTTCGAACTGCCCGAGGCCTCTCTCGAATGTGATGGAACCACCATCTTAACTATCACTATATCTCCCTCTGTTGTTGAAGGTACACCTATTACCTCGAGAAGACCACAATCTGGTCGAAGAGCCGTTGGTTGGCCTTCCTCACAGCATGCGTTTTATACGGTATCAGAGTATACCTCCTCCAGGGTGATCAGACTACGCCTTACTGCCATTCACCATTGATTATTAGGTTTTTACATCATCACCTATGCCTGGTCTATCTACCTACTCAATCTGTTTATAGGCTTTATATCCCCTCAAGTGGACGACGAGGATAGCAACTCTCCCGTTCTACCAACGCGGTAATCATAACTATGCAAGAGGTTATGGCAGTAATTCTTCTTCTCAGAGATTCGGATGAATTCAGACCGTTCCAGCGCAGACTGCCAGAGTTCGTATTCTGGAAGAGGGCCATGCAAGCGACAGTAATCTCCATCACTATGACGGTAGCCTCATTCACCCCGCCCACTTTGATAATTCCCTCTCAGTTTTTCCCTTTCTTCGACCTACCCGTGTTCTGGCCTATCCTCTTGATGTACTTTATAATGCTTTTCACTCTCACTATGAAGCAACAGATAAAGGTACATACAATGGCACCGCTATGATGGTGATCTTATTGTTGTACTTCAGCATATGATAAAACGTAGATATGTGCCTTGGTCGCATGGGAAGAAATCGTAGTACTCCATACTACTCTTTTGCAACATCACATCGTGTAGGTATAAGGGGAAAGAAATGAAGTGATCGAAGTGATCGTTAAATTGGCAGCGAGGAAGGGAAGAAGAGGACGATTGACTTAATACCAATACATCCGCTACTGGCAGGGACCATTCTCTTACATTTTCTGCACCGTCTAGCTCAGAGTGCCACGTGGCAGTATTATTCAACTCCATCATAGTTCACCTTGGTGTGGTATATCCACGATGTTATTATTTTTCCTCTCTCTCATCTGCCTACTGAGCGAGTGTACGCTGGCCGGTGCTCTCTATGGCAAGAAGAGTTCCTTCGTTCAAGTGTTGGACGCTCAAACATTCACCAAAACGGTTGTTCAAAGTAGTAGCATAATTGCCATTATCGCCATCGTTTTATTGGTGTTGTAGGTAATGAATTGTGGGTAGTGGAGTTCTATGCTGATTGGTGTGGTCATTGTCAACAATTTGCACCTGAATATGAGAAGGTAATCGGAAGGTCCCCGGTTCTATTCCCACCAGGGGTATTTTCTTCCTCAGGCTGCCAGTGCTCTCGCGGGGATTGTCAACTTGGCGGCTGTGAATGATCAGTCGGTGATGGGTCTCTATGGTGTTCAGGGTACGTACTTATGTAGGACGCAAGTTCGATCCCTGGTGACTGCTTTTAGGCTTCCCCACTGTTAAGTTTTTTGGTGAGGACAAGTCTAAGCCTGTTGACTACAGCGGTCCAAGGGAAGCCAAGGGGCTGGTCAAATATGCTCTCTCACATGTGACCGTGCATGAGTATTATCTTGTGATTTGGTAATATATAGGCTAAGAAGATCGCGAACGATCGACTCGCTGAGAAATCCAAGCCGAAGAAGGCCAAGAAGGACTCTGGTGGTAAATCCAAGAAGGCCGACACGCAACCGGAGGGGAATGAGGATGACGTCATTGTAGGGTTTCGAGTCGGTGTGGGAATATGTACAGGGTCCACTACATGTGCTAATGACAATATGAAAGTTCTTTACGAATTTAGGGGAGTAGTTGTTGGTTATTGTATTCCCTAAGCCGTGTGTAGATCTCCATAATGTAGCTCTGAAGACTGGTGAGCTCAACTGGAGAAATCAAACATGGTTTAGGTGATGATGTTATCTTTAGTCATGTCGTCAGTAGGCTCTCACTGGCAGCAATTTCGACAAGTTAGTTATGCAAGATCCGAAGTCAGTGTGGTTTGTCGGTGAGCATTCCTGTGTCACAGTGAATATTATCAGTTCTAATTATCAGAGTTTTACGCCCCTTGGTGTGGTCATTGTAAAGCATTGGCTCCTCATTGGACGGCAGCAGCTACTAAGATGAAAGGACGAGTCAAGTTTGGGAAAGTGACCCTCTCATTAGATCAACCTTGTGATGTGATTCACCAGGTTGATGCCACTGAAGAGCAGTCCTTGGCCCAGAGGTTCGGCGTGCAGGGCTTCCCTACTGTAGATAGCTACTACTAGGATCCTGCCTAACCCACGCTTGCCTAACTCAGATCAAACTATTCCCAGGTGGGAAGAAGTCGGATGGCCTTGCAGTTGACTATCAGGAACAGCGGGAAACCAGTAGTATAGTCGAGTTCGCCGAGAAGTAGGTTCACTGTACTCAGTCCTCTCATCTTGTTGGTGACTTAACCATTTAGATATCTGAGTTATGCTATAGAGGCGACCCAGTTACTTAGTCAGGACGACTTTGAGGACAACTGCAACAGTAGTGGAAATCGTCAATGTCGTTCCTTCGTAATTTTGATGGGTTTCGATCATCAGGTCGTGTCTGCGTTATCGCCATTTTACCCCATATATTGGACTCAGGAGCCCAGGGGAGGAATGCTTACATCGAGGAGTACAATGCTGCCATCAAAGGTAGCAGTAGCCTCACCGTATGCCCACGCTAATCTCCTCATTGTAGCTAACCCTGGTATTCCTGTTCATTATTACTGGTCGCAAGGTGGGGACCAATTTGAGTTCGAGGAAGCTCTTCGACTACAGTTCGGGTAGTTACGCAATTACTTCATAGTCCACAGTATCCCTTCAGCTATCCGGCGTTGGTGGCGGTCCATTTATCAAAAGGCCACTATGGAGTTCATCGTGGGGGGTTCGACGAGGCCAATATCAGAGAATTTGTGTCGGGTCTAATGGCTGGGAAGGTATATCGTCAAACCTCAACCATTCACATGATCACATCTTCGCTCAGGTTACCCTCGATCCAATTCCTAAGAATCTTCCTAAGCTGCATACTGTCACCCAGTGGGATGGTAAGGACGCTCAGCAAGAGCCTGAGGAGGATATGGTAGCGACTTGAGTCGTTCTAGTGGGAGGATAAGCGACCTTATTTTTAGGAACTCTAATGACTACTCATAAGTGTTTTTCAAGATATTGTTATCGTGTTCAGTTGGAAGGAGCAGGGGGGAATGCATATGAAGCGATTGAGTGACTCCAGTAAGGATAAAGGCACTCTCTTCACTTTTAGTATCGAATGAATAGGCATATACTACTGAACTGAGGGTTTTGTCTCATCGACCAAGTTATATCGCAGCATTAGCATCTAGAGTCGTCACACGGGTGTTTCGGTGTGTAATATGCACGTGCGTGCGAATGATCCTTCCCTTGAACATGGTGCAAGTTCCAAACGAACTGTGTATGGCAGCATATACTGGAAGAAGAGGAATTCCACATGATCTCGCGGATCGAGGCCATTAGAATACGTACAAATCTGTGGCAATCGCTGGAGCTGAGCTGAGCTGAATCCAGCACGAGAGATCAGAATCCGAGATATATCATGAAATAATCTAGTTCAGTGCCGTGCTTCCTTCGGCCTTACTAGTTAGGCGATCTACTGGATATTCGCTTCCTCGTATGATAGGACGAGGCAAGTCCTATACTTGACAAATCCGGATTCTCACTATCTACAGAGAGAATTCCTATCTATCAAGGCTGCTCAGGATAGAGCGACTGTGGTCGCGTTTAATTCGATTACCATCTCTTAGTTGCGATGATTATCAACTGATATACTTCACTGATTCAGTTGCTTATGGTTGATCGGCAATAGATTCACCCATAGCTGAACTCACTTGACTGCTTGCGACTTATTGAAGCAGTCACAGCATAGCTGATGACGTACCAAAGATTACCCCTCGACGATATTTATGAGATAGCTACTGTCAATGCTCATCCCAATACGACAATTCTTAGCCTCTGAATCACGTAATCCACCATTGTTACGACTCAACATGAAAACAGAACAGATAAGATCATCATCTTTGTCTTACATTAGACAAGTGATCGGTGATCCTCCTCCCTGCTGCGACTTATGCATCATACGACCCTCAACTGCAACAGAAGCAGTTTTACGAGGAGGAAAGGGAAGAACGATGCAAGAATGTCTTCAATACGATAATGTACTATTAATAAATGATATCAACGGACCAAACCAACACCGTCCTGCTTTAGACTTTCATCAGCTACCATCACCTCGTCATCATATCAATGACGTTGAGACCTTGGCCTCGTCCACGTCTCTGAATCCCCACCCTTCGACGTTTCCCGTTGCTGTTCATCTCGTAGATAGCACTGTCGTTCATTGAGAGGAAGGTACTGCAACCTCTTCTCTGGCGACAGTCCAACTCGATGTTCCAGTGGTGTACCATGCACTCTCGTCAAATCCATGCCATCAGTCTGTACTGCACTTTCCTCCAACTTCGAAACGGTGCGGGAGAACATCCTGTCATCAGTCGAAGTGGCTTCATCTCTAGTATCATCAAATCGATCACCGTGGCGTGCGCGAAAGCGTTTATCTCTACATGCTTTGATGAGCCTCTTTAGGACCAGTCGAACCGTATTGAAGGGGAGACAGTCGACTTCGTACTCTCGTTGAAGGAGGAGTTGGAACTCACGCGTGGCGAAGATGCATTCGGGGACACCGACTTCACGGAGACGATCAGCGAATGACCAAGGCTGAGGGAAAACAAAGGTGCTCAAAAAGTTGAAATGTTCGATAGAAGTTACAATTGACGGTGTAGAGGCTGGAATCGAATTATTCTTACCGGAATCCTCCCAGCGATAAATCCTCTAATTATAGGATAAGTCCTCTCAATAAGGGGATCATGCATATGGTAGATGTCACTGGTCTCTGATGGTGGCTAAAGAGAGGGACCAATATCGTCAGCTATACTCTACACAATCACAATTACGATGTCCATGCCTATACAGCCTCGATGAGGCAAAACTCACTAGGAAGATCTGTTCTGTCGGCGTTAACAACACGAAAGAGATGCACAGCAAGCAAATGGCCCCAAGACGACGAGTTGAGGAGATGACGATTCCCTTCCTCACCAGTCCACCATCAATGGCTAGACCAATGAATCGCGTATTCCTTGGCGGTTGTACTGACATTTCTGATAATATACGGTCAACTGCAACGAGCCCTGACATCGGAGGTTCGATCCCTGCACCCGACAACTCGACAACAAGATAATTCTATCGGCTACTGCATGTAACAACAAAGTAATTATTGAAAGGATTGCCCACCACTCTCGAGCTTGAGGAGCGTCTTCTTACCGCTGCCGTGGTCAGTACCAGGCGCAGCAGCATTCTTCAATTCCAACCCCACCACTATGGAATCATCGTCTTTATTAATTTGCCCCATCAACTCACAGAACTCCGGAAGGCCTTTACCAGCCGAACCGTCGAACTGATGTGAATCTCATAAACGACACAGCCCTACGTCAAGCCTACCTTAGCCATTATCGGCCCTTTTTTGTAAGAGCCCACTATCAAAGTGACGACTATTTGTGTACCTTCTGGACAGCGTAGATAAAGACTGCAATATCCTTCCTGAAGATGATAGTTGCGACAAAGATGGTATCACAATGGAGGCGCACCTTCTTGGTATTAGCATTGCCGTTGGGGTAGAACTCCAGGAGCATATCCCGAATGCCTATATAATCGATCATGTGATCGATAAGCTAGATATATAGGGCCTACCTGCAGCCGTGAAGATAGGACTGTACAGGCTTGCTCCACGAGGTGCAGCGGCTAACTTGGAAGATATTTTCGATATCTTCCATTCCACCGTAGATACATCACGATTCTCCACTACTAACACTTCCCGCCGTATTAGATTGTTCAACGACAACCTATGAATCTTCAAAGGGGGGTGTTCTCAGGCTATTCAGATGAGCACATTCACTACTTACTTTAATTTCTCCCCTGCCCATCTCATACACCTTCGACACGTCTAAGATGTCAACGCCAACAGTGACACTACAAGAACAACAAGATTCCAATGAAGCCCAATGTACAGCAGCATTCCACCTGTCAGTAACGTTATCGATTTCCGCGTCGAGCAAACAGAAATTGGAGTGTCCATGACCCATACGTGAGTCGTAAATATCCTCATCAGGAGCTCTGAGAGATATTTGGAAGAGAGAAACTGCCACGCTGAATCACCACTGCGATCTCTTTAGAGATGTAATTACCACTGGTAAATTACTGATAATTTCCGCGCCCTATCAGCGCCCATCAAATGAGTTCTCAAGATGCAGCTCACCTGTAGTGATTGCCCACAAAAAGCTGATATTTGATATTGGTTCCTTCAGGACACCAGAAAAAGACCGAACAGAAACCATCGAGAGTTGCAGTCTCACGACCTTGTGGGAAGAATTCCAACTGCATGTTACGAATCCCGCAAGCAGAGAACTGAAGACGCTTTACGTTATGTCGCCAAGACTCAGTATTCTACCTCGGGACTCCAAATGCTGACGTTTTTCGGGCACACCTTCAACTGCTCTCTAATACCTGAACGTTACGAACAGAGATATCCGGTTCGATCCCCAGACCCGCTATTTTTCACCAGTTATAGTCCATTCCACCCTTCTGGTAAGAGGATCATTCCCTGCATCTGACGTCCCCACAAGCGTAGTCAACTGCTCGTTCTCCATCCTCAAACCTACATCCAATTCATCATCATCCTACCCACCTCTCACTGCCTACCATCGACCCTGTCCTTGAGTGCCTGTATTTCCCTCTCTTGCCGTCTCATCTCCGTCATATGCTTCTGCTCGATATCGGCGATGTGAGCTCCCAGTTCTACCAGTGCGTGATCGTTTCAACAGTTCCTCAGGAATACTCCCCTTACGATTGATTCGGTATTTCCAATCATTATCCGCCATACGTCGGGACCGGTAGCACCAACAGGATGAACAAAAGGCGACTACTACAGTCAATGATGCAGCGATCGCCGTGAACAGCCCATCGATCAGTAAATGTTCAGTGGATTTTCGAGTTGCACAGAGCCGTTTATTTCCGTCTAAGAGTTCTATACTTTATGGTACAAGACCAAACCACGCCCGGACGAAAAGCAGCACGAGAATCATCAGAGTTATTCCGGTAAGTGAGAGCTGCTACTCGGATGGTCCCCCAGCGCCACAGGAAAGGCTGACCCAAACATAAATCACCAATGCCGTATGCTAATGCAGTCAAAATCACGACGGCATTCGACGTATCAATAGAGTCGATTCGACCTGTCATGAGACTCCACAAGCATATCGCATAGCCCGTCGAGGAAACTCTTCCCTGATTTGGTCACACAAAAACGCATTGAATAGATGAAGCGTGCACTGCTACAGAGGGTCGTCCATTTATAAAGTAGTAATTCCAGTTGCCGAATGGATCACTCGGGACCGTGTTCAGATTCCGACCGTCGACGCTTTTTGGACTTCAGAACGCCAAAATCAATAACCTGAAGCACCAAGTTCTACTGGACCACAGTGAACGATAGTGAATCGACGTTCCCGAACAGCGATTCGCTATCGGATCATTGTCCAGCCATTATACCTGGCTCCGCCGAGATAAATTCATTCGAAAGAGTAACGCAATGTCTTGTACCAACTGCCGGAACATGAACATTCACGGAGTATAATCACAGCAACATTTTCACACTTCTGTCCGAAGATATCTGCTCGCCGACCATTGATCGGAAGTTTCAACACGACTCAGCATAGTCCGCTTCGTCGTTGCTAAGATTCGCAGCTGGTGACCTTCCTGTGAATAGGAAGTTCGACTGGTTCTGATGAATCCTGGACCCATAATATCGCAATGAGCCGTACACCTTCTCGTAGCCCTTGCTGAATATTCCGGCTGAGTCGCCGATGAAGATCGTTGGGGCATGAACAATATCGAGTTTTTGCACTTTTTCGCCAATGTACTGAGCAACACTTCGACGGCCCCAGCGCTTTCTCTCGCAGTGAAGCCCACTGCGATAGGACAGAAGCTTCCCGGTTGCTGGATAGCGCCTATCAACATGTAGGGTATGGGCCTGTTTACCTACTGGTGCCAACTCGGTAGATAAACACCAGTAGTATCTACAAAGTCAACTCAATCTCCCTCATGGGACGGACCCTGATGTATTCTCGGCTCCAGTGAGATGCGAGGAAGGACGGCGCATCCTTGAAATTGTAGCGCACCCTCCCCGTTTCTCTACACCCCGGATCAATCATGTCGCCAGAACCGATCCACCTAGTCTCTTCTGATGGTGAGACCGTGCTCTCTCGTCGCGCCACGGCGGCCTTCGTCACCTGGCGCATGGGCCCTGTCTTCGCTCCGCCCCGGAAATTCTCAACATCGCCGTCCTTCATCACAACATTGTAGTGATCGTTGAGGAAAGCGACTAGTCACACCACCGGTGTGCCGGCTCACCCTGTCAGCGACGAGCAGGGAGGTACAGGAATTCCGATTTCCATTCCCATTATATCGCGAGCGAACGATACCTCACCTTGTAAGAAGATCCAAGCGTCGCTTTGTCGAACTTGGCGGAGGTGGAAACTTCCAGAGAGCATGCCGTTCCGCCAGACGTCACCGGCGCGGAAGACATCATCTGCTGGATGACCTTCACTTGATCATTCCTCTCCCCCTCGCGACTATCCTCTAATGCTTCATTGATAGCGGCGAGGACCTGAAGTGCATTATACCGATAACGCCTACTCAGAATACCATGATCGATCGAGGCATATCCAATATCACATGCCGGAGGACCAGCAACCTAGCGAGTAACTTACAGACGTACGACCCCTACGAATACATACACCACAACGATTCAGAGAGTTCTGTGAGGTCCGTCGATTTTGCATGAGAAGATTCTCACATCATCAGCCTCGTCATCTCCCTGTGCACGATTTTCCAGCAACGCTTTAGCTTCTAATAAAGTCTCCTTTCCCTTCTCCTTATCCGCATGTCGTTGGCATTCACCCAACCCCAACATTATCTAATCACCAACCCATCGACGAACTCCTCTCGAAAGGCAGCCAATATGTCCATTATTAACGATTCATTAATAACGAACTCACCGCGGCTTTCTTCCGCGCTTCAGACGCAGCTGGGTGGCATTTCTCACAGATTTGCAAAGCCTGTTGAATGACAAAGTGAATGGAGCCAACGCCCAATCTCCATCACCTTTTCAAACTCCTCGCAGGCTTGAGGGTATCGCTCTTGCAGCTGCAAAAAGTCACCAAGTCGACTGTGACACCGCCTGAGATAACGAATTGTCCCAAACGACTATTTAGCCTATACTTGCGGCATTGATCAACTTCCTCATTCAATGCCCAAGGTGAGCAGAAAATTCACCTGGCCAGATCCCACGGCATCTCCTCCTCCGAAAAAAGCTGCAGGCACTTACGACACTGCTCGAGATTCTCCCACGCCAACTGAAGGTCGTCCACTTCAGACTCGGCATACTCGTCTGTACGATGAGCCCTTAAGTATAACCATCTGCACTTCTGACTACCTTCGGCTCCCTTATCTCCAGCCAGCTCCTTCTCCCTCGTTGCTTTCACCATATCAACTGCCTCCTGCAGCCGATCCATTGCACTCTTTGATGACGACCCTACAGCCCATCACCGAATCCCTACGGACTTCCACTGTAGGCGTCTACCTTCCAACGCGTTATCAATATTGCCACTATTCTCTCCAACATCGGCGTTCAAGAGATCCACAGATTCTTCCTCTTTCGCCAACAAACAATCCCTGCATTACACAATGAGCATCGACTAACACTTCAAATTTGAGGGTAATAAAATTCCAGCAAAATCCACTTCGATAACCGTAAAGCCTCAAGAGTTTCGTGGCGAGCGACATATACTCCAGACCTATCTCGAGCCGCCCTCCCACCCACCCGAAATCGAAAAGCACCGCCGCCATAGCTTTGCACGTATCCGTTCCTTCCCTCCTGCAAGTGATCTCACAAGCGTCACCAAGCAAGTTACATGCCCGATCGATATCACCCTTTTCCCGAGCGATCCTCGCCAATTGTCTGCACATTCACAACTCCTGTACAAACGAATCAAACACTTTCTATCACCTGAGCTCATCAGGATCGCTAGTCAATAGCTCCTGGCCAGCCACAGACTCCATTCCTTCCTCCACGGCCACTCCCGGAGTAGCCGATGTGTCACTGCACTGCGCAGTCATGAGGTAAATGAATCGCGCTACAGCAAGCATCTCCCTAACTGTTTACAACTACAACACAGCTGCGACAACAGAAAACACATCGATAGTTAACTACACATCGAACAATGAAGAGATTTCGCATATACTCCTTCGGTTTTTGCACGACGTTCATAAAACCTACTTCGAATCCTATCCATACCACACCTCGGCGAATTCGTCAATATTCGCCTCGACGATCATGACGATTCATTCGAATCATTCTGCCATTGATAAAGCCCTAATAGGCAATCTTCCCAGTCCCGATACAGGCGAATAACAGTCCTTCCTCTAGATACCGTAGACCGGAGAACTCCCCCTATTACGCGAGATCACTCCTCTACCAAACTCGGAGAGGTGAACAGGTATATCTGCATAAATTACGGGCAGTATGATAAGCTTCTTCATGACAGAAACTCTGTTTATGGAACCTTCCCTAGCACTGTGAAACCGATACGGAGAATAGATCGGGGTTCACAACAAAACAAGATCTACATCAATTGCAGTGTTAGTAACGCATACGTCTGAAGTCCAACCTGAGAATTATCGTCCTCCGCGTTCGGCCAGCCGTTTCATGTCGGGCGATCGCTACCTTCCTGATTCCACAAACTTCAGTTTCGTAATACTCAACAATCCTACTTCCTCTTTCGTTTACAGCCAATCTCAGAAGAGTAAAATCATTCTTGGTAATGCACCTATACATACCGGCACCATCAGCAACCCACTCCAAGTCGACTATCTCAGTGTGCGTCGTTGTAGTACAGCCCGAAAGTATATTGCACAGTAGAATATACGATAATCTGTAGTAATACACTGCCAGAACTACACAAAGAGATGGTAAATGACATACCATCCATGTCGTTAAACCGAAGTTGCCCCTGACAAATTCGAGCTTGATCTGAGGAAGTGTAAGATCTGGCAAGAATGCAAGATTGCACCAATAGTTATCATCTCGTCTCCTTCCATGATGGAAAATGTTTCGATCCAATCGAGCTTGTCACGAACACGACGTTTCCACGACTGTACAGATATCGCTACAGTCGCTGCCTTGTCAGAATCTCATCAACCTTCTCGCAGTTGTCGTATTAATATCACTTGTTGGAAATGAAAAGGCAACTACGAAGAATGGACACCCTAAGGCAGGAAGCCTCAGTCGACCCCGCTGAGGAGATAACAAAAATTGTAAATTAACCTCACACTTCGTCAATGTATGAAGCTCAATTATCATTCAGGTCGATGGATGGATTATGAAAATCCACAATGCTATTTTTAATAAGGAAATCGTTAAGCCTGCCTTAGCTTCCGAAAAGAGAGGTGATGGGATATCATCATTCCCTTTCCAATTCAGGACTTCGTTCCACATCAGGCTCAATAAACTCAAGACTATTCGATGAAGTACCCGCACCTATCTCGAGATCATCAACACTACTGCTTAACGATGTTCTTTCACAGAGGAAGCTTTCCGATTCCAGTGACAGTTCGAATCCTTCGAGTGTTGATGATGATGACGATGACGAGAAAGCAGAAGACGATTATGATGAAGAGGATAAGGATCCCTTCAGACTCTATTATAAACCACGGAGCACTGGATGGCTGGTAAGCTTTCAAATAAAGCATTGAAATATTACAATGTCGATCAATCGGGAAGATATGAATGAGGTTTGCTCTTCGTGGTGATGACAGTAAAGGAATTCTGATAAAATTTTGTATTGTTTTATTTTGTTTTCTCCAACTTTGATTCGTGCCTTATTCAACAGGTACGCTTTATGCACTCCCTCGCATTGAACGAGGAGGGTATTCTAAAAAAGAAGGAAGTAGATAAGATAGTGGATCTCAGATCCAAGGTGGGACATGATACTTTCAGAACACAAATCTCTTCAATTCAAAATCAGTTATTAGTATCTGATATCGATTCCAATATGATTGGGAATAGATTGATACCATACTCCAAGGGAATTGATCTGATTCACAGTCTCAGCTGAGTGTAGAAAGCCTCCTCTTTCAGTACGCACGTGCCGAGTTCGCTGCCAACACTGAGACGACATTGGCCTTGTCGACTCTGCAAGCTGAGGTTGTCGAATACCTCTCTGATCTCGAGATCAAGATTCATCATCGTAAATCAGACCATCCCAGAGTAATAAACCAATGCTCATCATCTTAGTTCATACCACTCTTTTTGCAATTCTCAGCTTTCACTCCTCAACTCGCGCAATTCCATGACTTTTGTAAGACAACCTGTCGTCAGCTTGAAAGGCAGAATTCTTGGTAAATATAAACCCTTCCGAACTTCCATCTACCCCTTGCAGATTTGTTCACTGCTGAACGACGACGTACGAGAAACATCCAACATAGGCACGCCTATGCGAGTTTCTGGCATATGTAAAGTTGGAACTCTACAATAGGAAAATGTAATCAGTTTTAGGTATCGCATAAGTGAGCAATCTAAATACCTCATACCTCGTGGAAATGGAAAGCGAAAGTGAGTTTATAGATCTTACTCAGCAACCAGTGTTGGAATATATATTTACCTCCTACACCTGGGCTCAGGAGTTTTCCCATTATATTATGAATACCCTAAAAATCTAATAATGGAATATTATATTCATACAGTGTGAAAAATCAACGAGTATTATCAAATTTGCTGCGTTCCTCCATACTATCATCAACACGCGTAGTTCATCATGGGCATATTATCCAACACTCAGGTCGATGGACAATAAGTCGGCAGCTCCAAAAAATCACTCAGACGATGCCAAGAGAACCAATGCTAAACCACAGCTCAAGTCAGCCGACTTATCAACGATCCTTAGCGTCACCATATCGAAGTCTCTCAGGGTACTCAGGATGTTGTCTATGAGGAACTGGCCTTTGGAAGCTCACACAGCACAGCCTCTACCGTCTAACCCGAATTGCCTCACAAACGCTCCCACAACCACCACAACACAGGAGTGTTGTGATGTCTCTATCGAAGAGGATGACGCTCTGTCTCTAGCCAACTCTCGAATGATGCATGTATGCGAGGATTATCCCAACGGAAGAGAGATAGAGAAAATGCCCCTCGGCGTGAAGAGGAAATTGCATGATAAAGGTCTGCTGGGCTCTCAGCTTTGGACGAAAATGATGGGTGAGAAAATACCTCATACCACTCCTTTGCCACTTCTTACGATCAGACTCGCAATCTGAAGCAACAGGGAGAAGGGCTAAGACCTATAGCAAGTTATTCACAAACACCATCACGAACGACGTCGAAAGTGCCTTACCGGCGATATTCGATAAAATGGGTATGTATGAACAGAGATTATCTTCCCTGGAGATCCTCCCAGGGCGACATTTGATGCCCTCCAAAAGTGACATCCCTCATTCGGTCACCCGAAGTGCATCGACCGGCGCTCTCGAGATGAGCAGTCCCCGTCGAGACCCATCCCGCTGGAAGGAGTTCACAACTGTGGCTCCTCGGATTGACATTTCTTTAGAAAAATCGGTTACACAAGAATTCAAGTGAGATATCAGAAGTCGATATTGCAATAGTATTTGAACTATATACAGATACCCGGGTTGTGTGGCTTTCTTTGAGGCTGTCAAGGATAGGGGAATACCACCAACGCCTTTGCCAATCTTGGCTGGCACACAGGAGATCAATGATTTGGTGAGAACTATTTCTATTCATATTCCTAAGTAACAATGTCATGATATATGTACTTTCCAAAAGTATCATCAATAACGAGTTATACAACTCCAAGCTGAATGCATTATGACATGGTTGCTTGTATGAGATCCACCGTATGGTCAGCATTATAACCACTTCTTATTTCAAGGAGTTCTCATACCTTCAGCCGACTGAACACGTTTCACTAACTCGTATTCCTTGTTTCCTATCATTCCCTAATTCTATTCTTAAAGCTAATCTCGGAATCATCTAGTAACACACTAGTAGAGATTTCTCTCGTGGGTGTATGCAGTACGCTTTTCGCTCCCATAGAAAGTATACTCCATCTTTTTTTGCGGCGTCTTCATCAACTTTAGGTCTAGGGCGTCCATTAATACGCCTGCTGACAGTCCCGAGTACTACTACCGATAACCCTTATCTTAGATACTGTCGTATAGAGGGTTGTCCGACCAGGAATTGGAAGCGGTGGTCACTGGTGCCGTTGAGGTAAGTCATCACCACCACCACGAATATGCAACTACACAATTCTTCACTTAAGATACGCTCTCAGCCGTTAAAGCGACTCGTACTCAGTGGTAATTCCATAACTGACCGTGGCTTCCTGTAAGATTTATCCTACTCCGCTTTGTGCATCCCGAGTCCTCTAGATTCCTCCTGGACCGATTTGAGCATGCGGGATGGCTTGACGTGGTGGAGAGTATCGACCTTGGTGACAACAGTGGAATTGGAACTGATACCATACGTGCTATCGGTCGGCTATTACATACAAACTTGGTACCCAGATTGATGGTAAGCTGCATACTAATTCTGCATCTTACATCATCAACCTCACAGATTCTTAAACTATCGGATATCACCATAACAGACTACGCATACGCCCTATTATCCCAACAACTCCACAACGAGACCATCGAAGAGCTCGATCTCAGCTACACCGGCCTCGGTCAGCATCCTGTGGAAATACATAAACCTCATCGATGTCTCTCACTGCTCAGGTCGATGGTCAATTCAGGGACCTATCTGTGTTGCGGAAATGATTGTACATCTAAAGAATCTGAAATCACTGAATATCTCTGGAAACCACCTCAACCATTCGTAAGCTTCTATTCCAGCAGATAAGAGTTACATTTTTCCACTCAGCGCGATGGTCCATATTGGAACCGCGTTGACGAAGGCTGGCAAACTTACCTCATTGAGTTGCTCTAATAATTCCGGGTAGGCACGTGATAAGAATATCTTTCTTTACCTCAGTTCAGCTCGACAGCTTTCTGTAGCCGCGACTAGAATTAAAACCAAGAACATTGGAAAACTTGTTATTAGTCTCCTATCTTTTCCCAGACAACTGTCCCACTCTTTTGGAAGCCACTTTGCTCGATCGGGTTATCTCGGCAAGGCTGGTATGGTCGCTTTGGAAGACTCTGTTGGTCGGGAAGCCCTCGATCGATGTTTTCCATGTATGAACATACTATGCAGTTACCTCGGAAGTGAGTGAACAATAGTAACATCACCAGCTGCTGCTCAGTTTCTTCACTTAGGCATTCCTACATTGGAGTATGTCGATTTATGCAACTCACAGCTCAACCACCAATCAGCATTTGTAAGTATCTTCTTCCCTTCTGTGATTTAACTCTCTGATTATCGAAATCGACTTATAGTATCATGATGAATCGCTTGACAATGTTGTGGAGCTACCTCGTGGCCAATACTCTTGAAATTGAATTCATTTAGAAAACATGAGCTTGCATATCGTTTCGCGGCGCAGGTCCTCGCAGATTCCCTGTGTTTTCATCTCAACATCCGCACGCTTATACTCTCCAACAACCCCATGGGCCCCGACGGTATCCGAGCCCTCCTCAAGATCATGTCGGACATCAGTTTACTATGTCCGATCTCAGTGGCCCTGGTAGGTATCTTAATCCCTTCCCCTCCGACCGTAAGATGCATTCAATCGCTCTGGACCGGTGTGAAAACGCTACAATGGATGACACAGCTCTTGGTGGGGGGGGACGTATGGACTTATCTCTATATCAATCTTGGCAGGAGGGAGTGTTGGTGGATCTCCAGACGGCGGAGCGGAGTGAGTCATGATGTCACTTTTTGTTTATCCCACAGCTTGGGCAACCAGGTACAACTTCCTGGACCCGACCGGCTCCTACCGACTCCATGTTGAGAATCCTTATTATCGTGCAGTAGTTCGACAGTGTTTACGACGATGGCAACTTATACAAGATTCCACAAGCTTCTCTGAAACTTTCTATGATGTGAGTATTCCCTCTGTTACTTCCATGTATCAATATAATAGATACGCCATAATGGATCTCCAATTGCATCGTTTGAATTGGATGATAAGAACGTGTGGCACTTGCCAACTCAGGGAATGCTCACCTATACGGCAGTGTACATGGTCACATAGTTGATCACAGGAATAGAAGGACTTGCATAGATACCGACAGAAAGCCTCGGAAGCAGCTCTCGACCCCGGAACCTTGAATGACGATCTTGGGAGGGCCGCGAGGGAGACGCTGTCGGATGATCTCTTCCAGAGGCTAATACGATGGTAGGTTGGACTTACCACTTCATAACGTCTAGCTGTGTTACACCACCGAGACTCGCCTAGAGTAGTTATTTCTTCATATTGATAATCAATGTGTAATAGGATATCGAGAGAAAGCGATGTTGGGATCATCTCACGGGGCTCTTATACTGATAATATCATAACTATCGCGTGTTATCTGAAAGCGTAGCGGTGATTCAATCCTATGATCTCGCGGTAGCCAGGTGCTCGGAATAACCACTCAGCAAGAATGCCTAGATAGAACTTGAGTTCGCATCCCGTTATCTACTATTAGGGATAGCAACACCATAGCACTATTCCTATTGGTCAGTTACATGAGTTGCGGACAAGATACTTCCAGAAGGCCAATCATCAAGGCTCTTTCTAAGGACTTTGTCCTCACAGCATCACAGGTCACGATGCTCTTCCACGCTACTGTTAATGGCGAGTTTAAAGTAACCACTACACTGCTGCAGCAGCCCTGACATCAGGAATTCTTATCTGTAGATACCATTGTTAAAGTCGCTCATGGACAACATCGCGGACCCAGCCAATGCCTTGTTCCTGGTAGAGTATCTATCCAAGAGCACAATACTCACCAAACATGTAACGCCCGAATTAACCGCAATCAGGGATGTTAGCTTTATGTAGCCGACGAATTATTCGACCTCCGCCTCGCCTATATCTAAGAAGACGCTGGTCAAAGGCAAAGTGAAGCCAACAGATTTCAAACTGTACTGCGCCTTCCGGCTCATCTCACTATCGAATTCTGATGGTAAATAGCAGGTACTTTACGTATAGCGGATCCAACCCGACAGGACACTATAAGTTGGATTGAGAATTCCTGACCATTACATGGTCGCTGAGCATCTCATGTAGCTCACTTGCTCAACATTAATGATGTCGATGAGGTAGATTTATTTTAGATTGACAAATAGATGGGATGTAGAATGGTGTAAAGTTAAAGGGAGACCAGATGTCAGTCAGTACGGTAATTATCAATGCTTCAGGAATGAACACTACGATGGGATGCCATTCAAGTGAGAAGTGCTGAAAGGCACTCGCGAACACTGATCGTCATCAGATACGGTCGAGATTGGATTCTACCAACTAGCGGTATTTGGGAGTTTGACTACGTATCCCCTCGTAGAGCTCTAAAGGGCGGTGCCATAACTGCTGAGGCATGGCTCCGGGTAGGGACCACACAACTGTTACTATAGATACCTCTACTCTTAGGTTACACAGTCCATTCAGAATGCATTGGATGAGGGGCGGCTCAGCAACGAAGTGGTAGGTAACGGAACTTGTTGGACCCAACTTTGATAATCGTTGTAGATTGTAATGTGTTTGAGACGAGTCAGTCACCTTTTCTACGTCAATTGTAGCCAAATTGATGTTCTCCTCGCGATGTTCCCACAGACTAGTCAAAATCTGCAGATTAGAAGAGATATATTCACAACCTTGTGAGTGCTATTCATAACGGAGAAGTCCCTTCAGTGCATGGTCTTCAGGTATAATCGTATTGTTGATTATGTGGATATTCGAGAGCATTTCTGTCGTCCGCGACTAGGCCTTCCGCCGGCCTTTGGACCAGCTTGTATCGCCATTTTAGAACGGCAGATTGGAATGTAGCCGTCTCAGGAAAATCAACTGTATGAGCTGAATTTACTCGTGCTCAGGTTAAACCTTTTCAACCCTTTAAAGGCCGATAATGCAGCTTTTAAATGTGACTTTAACAGTCACGAAGGCCGTTTAATGGCACAGATAATTTTACGTTTAAAAAAGACAGAAGACAATCGCATCATCAACTCTCGTTTTGGCGCTTCTCTGGAAGTATCTCCACCAGTTAACGACCAGAGCTTGTGATTGTTTATTCTCTCAGGTTATCTTACCGATGGACGCTCCACCGGCATGGTATCAATGTGTTCCCTTTGAAGGATATTGGGAGGGAACTTATGTTGGTACCAACAGCAAGATGAACGTACGGAAAGATATTGCCATGACGTATTGTGCTTATGAGTTCTAAACTCAGCTTTATTGTTGTAACCATTGTCATTGTTGTGCTACAGTGGGGATTATAACGAAATAATATCAGTACAGTCTTATTCTCTTATAACAGAGTGTACTTAGAAAAATACTTAAGTGACCTTCAGTACTTCGACATGAAGAAATTCAACACTTGAAAACTGAAATAATGATAGATAAGAAGTTCTTCATATACCAACCCGCTTTATTGATAGGAAGGCTCTCAGATGAGGGTGCTGCACTGTTAGCTGATGCGGATTCCTCTCTACTGCGAGCAAAGCAACGTATAGATCATAGTTAGCGTATGACGGGAGGTGACACGAGATCAGTTCAGATGGTGATGAGTATCATAGAGATAGAATCGTCGTACTGCTCTTTGAGATATGCAGTAGCCCCAGGCTGAGGAAGTTAACTATTGCCGTCAACGAGGTAAGTCTACCGAGCGAGACACGGTGAATTAAATATAAGGATTTTTAGTCAACGACTGTTCTGATCGTGTCTGAGTCGGAGCTCGTGTTTCATGCTTCCACTGTGTATTAAACTCGAAGAGGTAGGGGATGCCTTTGACTACATATATCGACAACTCCATGGTAAAGAGCGCTGAGGCGTATCATCTCACACGGGATGAGCCTGCTGTAGCCTTTGTGCTTTCCTTTTGACCAACCACGATATGTCAACATATCGAACGGTGGTAGCCCCACCGTTCGATCCCTTTTTCCCTCTGTGTCAGTGTATGAGTATTGCTCAGTTCGACAGCAGTCACGGTCGAGCGCTCATCGAGACTCCTCACCAACTGAGGGAAGCTCTCATGTGGGTAGGCCAATCGTGATGGTCCGAACGACGCATGAGCCGCCTGTCTGCGCTTTCGCTAGGATGTATTTGAAGGCCAATGTTGGCGGTATGGAAGCGGATAGGATATTCCAAATACGACCGTGAACAGCCTTTAGGCAGCAACGCGACACCATCATTATCGAATTGGAGTTATAGTTGGAGAGTAGACAACCCTCCGTGAAAAAAGTCTTAGCGTTTTGCTACAGTTTGAGGCAACCAAAAGTAATAGCAGCTTCACAGCCGACGCCACTGACATGCCTTCCCATACAGTGCAATAGTACAGGAGCCTCTGAGCTCAGAAAAATTGCCAATACAAAAATAGGCGATAGTAGAGTGAGTCTATAGACGAGACGAACAGTCGGAAGTCTTGAGCTGCCGACAGATGATTGAGAACAGTAGAATGATCGCTCCTGTTGATATCGACAGACTTCCATGTGGTTACTATAATGCGCATAGTCGAGGGTAGAGGATAGTCACAAGTCTACAGGTCCTTCTGTAGAGGCAGGACGGCAACCCATCATTAGGAATCTCTTGGCACACAGGGCGAATTCATCTCCTGGTACAAACAGATGCCAATCTGATAAAATGATAGTTACGACACAGCTTCGCTCCGCCGCCTACCGATAAGCTGCAAAAAAGCGGCCTCCATCACATCAAGTTCTGCCACTCTAACGCCACCAACATGGGCATAAAACTTGTTGTCATAGTAGAGGTCGTCAAAGTACTTTACTGCAATCACCAAAGCAGCGAGGAAAAATCTAAAGGAAAAAAATAAGTCAACGGCTATAGTGCGAACACTCACTTGTGGACGCTCCTTCTTGTTATTCGAAATTCAGAGTAGTTTTTGGAAATTCGATCGAGGTAGATGAGGGCGATCAGATAGCATTCTCGCGAGCACTGAAAATGAAAATTGCGGCGGAGCGTAGCATGGAAAGCTCTCACCATGAAATGCTTCTCCAGGCGTTTCAAATACGCATGAATTGAGATGCTCGGTGGCCGAAGTGAGTAAAATCGAGTAACTCCCCGAAGGTTCAGCGGGATATCTGACGGAACGAATTACGCACGATTATGGGGGAAAACGGTGGATGCAGTAGAAGGATAATTGACTTGCCTGGAAAGGCGACTATCTCTGCAGGAGATATCATTTCGAGGACCGACTTGGCCAGGGTAGCCACGAAATCGACCTGAAAGTCGTCTCAAAAACTTAAGCAGCGAATTTGGACTAACCTGAAATGCTGAAGTCCCGAAGACGAACTCCTGCAAAAACTCCTCATCAGCGTCGACACGCATTGAAACATTGCCATCACAGCACACGTGTCGATCATCATTATCATCAGCTATGCCCACCAGAGTCATCAGACTTGCCTGACTCTCATTATGTGGTAAACAGGATACTACTCCTGTGCTGGGAGCAGTAACAGAGCCATCGGTATCAGTACAAGTGACGGGGCTTTCCTTGCTACCCTTATCTGTTGTATTCACAGAGGAGTGCGAAGGATGAGCGAAAAAGTCACCATCACTGGTCATATTCCGAGGCCTCGAAAAATTACAGTTGTGTTTGTCGTCGTCGTCCCTCACTTGTGTGAGGAATATCGCAGCATCGCTGCTATTGCATCGACAGACTCGTCTCAAGAACTGCTGCGTTTGATAATCTACAGAGGAGGTCTCCTCGCGAATGATCGAGACAGCTGGCCTTGGTCTAGCTGGCGAGAGATTTGGTGATGCCGGTGGTGACACGGAGAAGGTGTTACGATTATTAGTGACCGCCAATGATAGCATTTTCAGGCCGTCTTAGGAGAGGAAAAAACCAAACAGCATACTAAGGTCGATAGTTTCAATATGAGAACCCTCCAACGAAATTCTCCGTAGAGTGATGACCATATTCTCTGAGATTACTAGTGTTATGAACATCTATCATTACCGAACATAGGAACGGTTCCAGAGCCCACAGGAACGAATAACATCTACTCCAACATCATGACTCAAGTTATTCCTATTCCTTTGAATACATCAGGTCGAGCAAAGTGTACAGACTGCCAACGACGGGCATGGAAAAGTGACAGCTGTTTCGCTGTATACATTTGATGAGGGGATGATCTGAGATAAGTGATCTATTACAGATTCTGATTGGCGAGCGCCCAATATGAAGTTTCAATAAGTCTGTGGGATTCTGACGAAAGAGAAAAGGAATGAACAGATACCACCTGAGGGGGGGGGGGATAATCACTCTATCGTCGAATACTCTCGAAAGCGCTGTCGAGAGCGAAAATCAATAATAATAATCATAAGATGAGGCAGAGAAAGCCTGCATAATGGTAATGGAAACTCCTCTGTTGGCAAGTATAGGTAATAAGAGCCAGATGTCGATAAGCGAATACCATCACTGAGTGATAACACTCGATGGAGTGGTAGGATAATCACAGGCAGCATACGAATCTATTGCTCTCGAAATATCTGGCGACTCAATACAAGTGTTCATACTGCTTACAGTAGCTACACATGAAGCACCACGAGGGACTACCTGAACGAACAAACAACAAGTATGATCGACGGTTTAACTCCTCATGCATTGAAAAGAAAGTTGCCACAAGCGAGTCTAAGATCAGATGAATACACTGTGGACAACCGCCGACACCGAAATAAGAAGGCAACCTCTACCCAACCTCAGCTCATGCTTTGATAATGATCGTCTTATGACGGTGATTGCACTACTTCAACTATCACCGAATGTTGCGAAAGGTTTGGTCTTATTGTGCCTTTCAGGCTACGAGTGAAACGGGTAAAAGTGTAAAGCTATTGTTGGCAATGGTAACCCTCATGAGCGAGCTATGGCAGAGTGCGAGACGTATTGGATAGTCTTAACTCGAAGAGGCCTCATGGACAGTGGCAAGGAGAGTCTAGTCACTTATCATGTTATAGGTACAGTGTTTACACACAGCAACGGTAGTCAAAACGATGACGACAGAAAATACAACTTTTGACAAGAATGGCAACTAGTGCACAGAACGGGGAACGGAAAATACAAAACTTTGTGAACTTCGTGTTCATAGTTGGTCAACTTCCATATGCTACTTTAATGAGATTGATAAGCATTTCTGGTGGGGGAGGGGATGATGATAGTGGCAGCATCGTTGGCTCAACTGATGACCAAACACTCATCCGATAAGACTCGTATTCCTGAGGTGAAGTGTGGAGGTTCCAATCTAAAAGAAATACACAATAATGAGCTCTTCACTGAGAAGTGCCTCACTGATGAGTCTGAGGAAATCAGCCTCTAGTGCGTTTAGCTCTTTCGTTCTAACACCGCCAACAGCAGCATAAAACCTGTTACTGTAATAACGATCGTCGAAGAACTTCGCTGCTAGCACGACCGCAGTAAGGATAACTCTGGCAAGAAAATCGAAATAATGTAAGATAGCGAACTCTGGGTGATTGAGACTACCGATGAATGGCGCACATACTAACAACGAAGTTCGGGCCTTGTGTCTTGAGTAGTCGATGAATGTAAATGAGTGCAATGACGAAGCATTCGGAAGAGCACTGAACACATACAAATCTCACCAGCTACAAACACATGAATACCGGCTTACTCTGAAGTGCGCTTCTACTCGTTGAAGGTAGTGGTAGATTGAAATGGTTGGGGGGCTGACACCATGGAATCGGGTGGGTGTTCCCGGACCTAAGACATGGACCATGACGAGCACTCATGCTTCACATTCACTTACAGTCAGCCCTTTCTAATGAGGCGACAAGGACCATATGCTCCAGAAGATTGGACATCGCTTGGAGGAAGCCATCCTGCGGAAGGTCGCAAGTTCTAACCCCAGCAGCGGCATATAGAATAATACTCACCATGCGACCACCGCCATTACGACGACGAGTAGCAGCAGCGCGTTTCAGTGAGAGCTTATCCTCCATTAATAGGAAGATCAAAAAGACTGCTCCCCAACATACCAACCGAGCATTCCAATAAGAAAACGCAATCAGAGGAAATAACGAAACCGTGATTCCATCAACTACAGTGAAGCCGTCAATCCCTGCCATCATCAACATCACACTGAACTACACTGAGCTACTTTCATCAACACTATTGACTCGGACAATTGGTTCAATGCGGTGAACTACGTGTGTAAAATCGCTCAGCTGCTGAAAAGAAATGACACTCGTCCCTTGTGGGAACAGCAGCGATAGTAATGGTGCCTGCGGGGATTGTTGGCAGCAACAGTAGTTAGGTTGTTCAATCTCAAGAAAAAGAAGTAATGTTCGTGTCAAATAGGTTTGCTTTCCGAATCGTTATCCATGGGCAAGGAAAAGAGACATATTTCATGAGACCAATGAATGATACTACTACCGTTGAACGAGTTGAATGATGTTGTTATAATCACAATGAATAAGCAATTAATAGGATTACCACACTCAAGCGCATTGGCCAGGAAGGCGTTTATAAAGATGAGTGTGAAACAGTACCACACTATTATGGATGCAGCAGCAACCTCAGTAATGAGAGAACAGTAGTTGTCCCCGGTTCGGATATAAATCATCATCTACTCAGCTAATATCCGAACGGTTGGGGAAAAATAGATGCCCCTCAAGCACAGTATTCCTGAGAGTAACCTCAGTCAGAGTATGAATAGTCGAGGTCGATGAGAGCAGTATGGGATAATAATGAAGGAAGAACAAAGAGAGACTGGACAAACAATCTCGAGAGGACTCGAGTAAGGAAGCATTGAAGCTTACAGTATCCTGAGGACACTATAAAGACCAAAAGCTGTGTAAACTGACCGCGTTACAATAGTACATAAACATATCGTGAACGATCGGAGATTTGTATTGATAACCATAGCCGTAGATAACCATAGATGAAGTATTCACTCCCACGATAAAAGGTCACCGTAGAAGGTTAAGGGTGCACAAAAGAATTGATAGCAAGTGTAACATTTTGGGCTCACAAACTGGAGTACATCACTTCTAGGGAAGTTCATCATGAACAGTTGCAGCCACAATAAGATACAATAACAAGTGTAAGAAGTAAGGCCTTCCTCGTAAATATGATAGACAATTCTACAGCGGTCAAAGCGTTGGTGAGAAACGAGCTCGGTAGACGGTCAAGGCTGGTTACAGAGTGCTCGGTCGAACCACGCATCGATCAACGAGGTAGACGAATATGAGCAGCAGCAGCAGCAGCAAAATGCATGAGGTATCTCGAGCAGAGATAAAAATGGAGGTTGCAGTTCAAGATAGATAATCGACTATTCACTCCTCGATATTCCGCCATCTTTTAACAGAGGAAGGGCAACAGGGGAATAACGAACAGCGATTGATCAGATGACTGGAAGGTATCACGTCTTCAAACGTCATACCACACCTTTCCATCATCATCGATAGTTGACGGAGCAAGGGGTTTCAATGGGAGCAGAGTTACCTACAAGAAATTCGCACATACGAGTAACAATGCCATTCGGTGAATGCTACTGCCTCGTTCGAGATGTTCCCGAGTAAAGTCCTGTAGGCCTCGAACTCTTCTGCGGTGACGGTCAGTTTCCAGTCTGATATCACGTAATCAATGATCCACAAAAGGGCGAATAATGTTCCTCATTACTTATGAGTCTGAGAAATCCCTCCTCAAGGGAGTTAAGCTCAGCCAAGCGGACCCCTGCGAACTTAGCATAATTCGCATTGGTGTAATAACAGTCATCATAGAACTTGATGGAGACCAGGAGTGCTGATAGTAGCAATCTAATAGAGCACCAAATTCAGAGAGAGTCCGCGCTGCGCACAGAGAAGGATACCTGTGAATACTGTATGAGTTGATCCTGAATGTTTCGCGCCGCCCTAGCTTAACTCTGTCGATGTAAATGAGAGCGATGATAAAGAAGATGGTAGAACACTGAGCAGGAAGAACTGCCGGTTTTAGCACGCAGAATGGGGGACGCCTCATCGAGTAGTGATAGCAGTAGCAACGATAGCAGTAGAAACGATAGCAGTAGTAACGATAGCAGTAGTAATAATAGTATTAGTAACAACAGCAGTAGCAACAATAGCAGTAGTAACTATAGTATTAGTAACAATAGCAGTAGCAACAATAGCAGTAGTAACAATAGCAGTAGCAACAGTAGCAGTAGTAACAATAGCAGTAGCAACAATAGCAGTAGTAACAATAGCAGTAGCAACAATAGCAGTAGTAACAATAGCAGTAGTAACAATAGCAGTAGCAACAGTAGCAGTAGTAACAATAGCAGTAGCAACAATAGCAGTAGTAACAATAGCAGTAGTAACAATAGCAGTAGTAACAATAGCAGTGGTAATAGTAGTAGTGATAGTAATAGTTAGAGTAATAGTAGTAGGAGTAGTAGTAGTAGTAGTAGTGATAGTGGGTATAGATACCTACATTAAATTTCCTAGCAAGACGTCTTAGATAAGTTCCCAAAGGGATAGTTGGCACATTGACAGCATGAAAGCGTGTAAGCACCCCTGGTCCAAAGACTTCTGACACCATCATCATTATCATCAGCATCATAGACATGAATACTTACCACCATCCGCCTCGCTCTGTTGAATAGTTATAGTCAACGCTGTGATGATTGCTGATAAGAATTTCACCTACACAATCTCGAGTGAACAATCTCGACTGAGTACCCAACACTTACCGCAGACGTCGGATTCATAATATTCTCCTTCGGGTCTCCATTTTCTTGTATGATGCGTTGTTGATGATGATGATACCCATCATTCATAACCTCCACCTGGTAAGTCGTGCAAGGGACTTCGCGATTACGAAGCTTCAGCGATTGGCGCGTAACATCATCGCATGTAGTAGAGACATCAGATCGACCAGATCGCGGCGAGACTGATTGATCGGACGATGACGACAAAGACAGGACGAGAGGCATTCTTAGGACAACTCCTAGAAAATGTTATTCACGAGCCCTCACACAATTAAACACATTCTTCATTGGTACAAGTAAATTCACTTATGCATGTCTCAGGAAACGGGGGAGCCTTCTGGGGGCAAGCCACTACACAGCCTTGTCCTAGTCGTACCGTAATCTAGTACAGGGATGATGAGAACGAATCGATACCTTCGTCTACAGTATTTTCAGTGCAAATTAATTTTTCACCCATTTCGTTGATGATTTACTTTTTTCGTGAACATTTTCAAATACCAAAAATAGATTAGCATTATATCCGGTCGTTTTGAAAGTCCAGGAGTTTCATTTAGCCACAGAAACAATTTTCAATTTCACGTCCGTCCATCACAAAACACCAGATATAACACTGAGTTGTGCTTTTTCGCCAATACGACCCATACGTAATGCGGCAAGTGGATGATCGTTAATGCGGGGAGAAAGATACCTCGTCTGAGTTTGAATAACGCTATACAATGAGCTCGGAGGCGTTCATAATACTGTTCGGGGAGACAAAGTGTAACGGCGATTGAATATATGCTCGCTCACCTCAGCTGAGCTCAGGACCTAACCGTATTACTCAAAGCACCAGCAATACGATACACTACTTGACGTGACCAAGAACCCACTTTTTCAGCCCTCTCCAGAGCAAACCGTCGATTGCGGTCGATCACCAACCCCTTCAAGAGAGCAAGACGCCAAGCACTGGCTTGAATGTGTGGATGCATGGACGCTACCTGAACTGCTCCTCAGCCTAAGGCGTTTACTCACTACACCATGAGAATCTACGCGCGGCTCGGTGGGAAATTCAATGAAAATTCCCTGAATTCTCTCGACACATTTGGTTGACAATATACGTATCTCAGCATCATAAATACAGAATGCGACCTCACTAAAACCTCTTCAGGGAATATCTCTTGAATGATCGATGCTTGTCCTCCTCCTCTACTCACCTGTAACTTCCTTATAACGGCTGATAACGTCGTAAAATACTCACCCGACATACACCTTCAGAATCGCCTTTGCTACCAATGTCCTCACCAAAAGCATCCGATTATCCTCCCAAATACTCGGAGCCTGAGTAGTACGCACGACGAGCTTCTACTTCTACTACCAGGTAGAAGGGGGATGGTCGTTATCATCTAGCGTAAGTCAACTGAGCAGGGGACAGTCGGTGGGCGAGCGAAAGAACTCTGACCTAGGGTGAAGGGTTAAACTCGCAATAAGGGTGCTGAGGGACAAAGCTAGACAGAGCACTCAGCAACAACAACAACGATGATGATGATGATGATGATGATGATGGTAAATGGGAATAAACTTGTGAATGATACAGGAGGACAACCAAGACCCTCCAAGGGCTATGAGAATATGAAATCATTAATAATGGGGACAACTACCGCACTGCCCACAATTCCCGCCAGCACAACGAGCGCACAAGACTTCAACCATATAATGCCACCAAGGGTCGCCTTCTTCCCCCTAGGAGTGAAGACCTCATGAACTGCCCACACTACAAGACCGTATATAAGAGTGAACATAAGAGGACCAAGATGATGAAATCCTACCAGGCTAAGCTCACCCACCTGTCCAACATTCATGAGCTTCTTCCCAAGCATATACCCTAACACCGCAGCCACCCCAGCCTGTCCCTGCATCTCACGGCACAGCAGCAGATTGCCAAGGATTGAGCCCAGCAGGTACAGCCACAGCGCTTGAATGCCCACCTCTGGAAATAGGCTCGGTAGAGCTAGGGAGCTTACGACCCATTCAGGGGTAGTTGGGAAGGTTAATGCAGCAGGGAGGCCCGATGGGGAGAGTAATGTGGTGATCGCTAAGACTAAGACATAGTCGTCCACCGGCCACTCCCCTGTAAGGCTTGTCGGGACCTTGAACCATGTCCCTAGTACACCCAACCAAATCCCTCTACCAGAAGCCCAGGCCATAGACAGAATACCACAAGTGTAGACTGATACTGGCCCTATACAAGGTAAGTGGCCCTCCTGAGTCGGGAGAGTAGCATACATCATCACCAACACACCCAGGCATTTCATCACCAACACCACACGGTGAGCTAGTTTATCCAAAGCCATATAGGACCAAGAGGAGCGTTCTATAGTTTTCATCTCAATGTAGGAAGCCAGATGGTCTACTGGTATGGCGCCGGCCGAGCCAATAGCATCGATAACCCTCTTACATGGTGGTGCTCGAGGAGCCCTCACACACATAGTCTCACATGCAGCTACCCCTGGTTGCTTCCAAGCGAACCTATCCGAACCGTATGACGACACCTTAGGGGTCGGGCGAGGCGACCGCCACTGTAGCCAATAGGCATCCACCCACAACCCAGGTTTGACAAGACCCATCAATGCCCCTATACCAGTTAGCATATCATACACCCGCACGGCCACATAATCGGAGTAATGTGTGAGGGGCCTGAAGGCCTCTCTTAGGGGCATTGACCTACAACGTTCAGGGTGATAGAGCAAAGTCCAGCTTAGGAAATCTAGACAACATTTGACACGCTCTGAAAGGGTGCATGATGGAGGCAAATACCTTGGGCCCGTATAGATCCTTCCCCCCTCTACCCCTGCATGGAGCCTTTCAACCAGCACAGTGTACTCACTCGGTTCTTTATCCTTCCAATGTTCAACCATCAACGGTCCCGTAGCGGAGCCAGCATAGACGGAACTTAGCCTCGACAGCGGGACCCAGGGTTCCCTCTCGAATCGGTGTGAGAAGGTAGTCCCAGTTTGGGGGGCTGGTGGTGGCTTCTGACAAGGCCAGGGAGAATCCAATGCAGAGGAGACCACCATAGTAGCCACTTCTTGAGCCAAAGCGCTTAACTCATACCACGCCATCTCTAACACCTTCGAATCCTCGAATAGTAGCACTCTGGCCGCTGTAGCCCCACGAGCCACCGCTAGACCCGGACACTGTCCCACATCGCTGACCGCGCGCCACGAAATATGAGCGTCCTTGACAATATCCTTAATAGCACTGCGGTCCCTTACGAATACCACTTGAGCCACAACATACAACTTCTCTACCGGACCGATCCACCTACAGGTAGGCCATGCATCAGCAGGGAAACGATCTAGTACTCTCTGCTTCATACCACACCATTTATACTTTTCAACTACCCTAGGATCCGCCTCCACCAACTCGTGATGCTTCAACCGTACCAAGAGGGCATTCAAGTGAGCCAGCTTAGCCCCTCCGACCAGTACTGAGACCATCGATGATATGGACACCTCTGGCTGAGTGATATCAATACTCTGCGAACTACTGAGTACCAATGGCAACCTAACAAGGACCTTAGGGCGGATGAGGCTGAGCCAATGAGCTCCTCGTATAATCGATGAGTCAATAGCCAGGACGTACACCGGGTCCTTGAGGACCTCCTCAACTGCATTCACAATATCAACGGCCTTGATCGGACTCAGTGTCCAACACTGCCAGAAGTCGCACAATTCGCTCTCATCGATGTTGTCATAGTCAAGACCATGAGTAACAAACCTTTCCTCTTGAATCGGATCAGGCATGAACAACCCTTTACTCTTCAAAGAGATGGGACCAAACATTTCTATCTCCCATAGATTCCTCTCCACTTCAAACACCTCCAAGGTGTGGTCATCAAATAACACATTTAAGTCAAAGTCGGCGAACTTCATAACATAACCATCGGAATCTTCTACTCCTTCTGGAAGAATACAAACCAGGTCCACATCGTCCGGATGCAGTCTCCACGTAGTGTGAGTATCTTTAAAATCTTCCCTGTGCGCTCTCCTCTCAATTTCCTCATTCAAGGCCTTCGTCGCCATCTCCTGAGTGAAGTCTAGGCCCCAGAAAGGGTCGTTAGAATCAAGGCGAGCCCTGAGCCCCGGGGTAAGGTCCCCAACAGTGCTCGGTGTAGCTGCTCCACTCATCGCTGAGTCCGCACGGTTGATCTTCTTCGTCTCCTCCACAAGGGTTGGATAATGACTGCTGATAGGCCTAGTAGTAGTAGCCATACATTCGAGTGTTATAACATGACCTAATCTGTATCTTACCACCCTGAACCTAAGATTCTTCCCTCTAGATAGAAACGTGGTAAAGACAACATTAACATGGCGTTATTTCGAGATAAGTGACCGCCAACACTTCAGACAAACCTCGGAAAAACAATACGAGCTCTGCACGCATGCACAAACTAACATCTCTTACCTCGATCGTGCCCTTGGTCCAGTACTCCAACATGTTTCTCGTCGGTCAGAATATTCCACTACGGTTCCATTGGTAGTGGGCATTCATCACTTTACATAGTGCTACTTACAATTGAAAAAATGTTGCAAATCTACCGCTTCCCAAATCTACACAGGAACCCACACAGGTTAGCGCACAGCGACGTATGCAAGATAATCTTTATCGTCACACCGGATAAGTTTCGCAACTAACAGGGTCTTCCTAAGAGTGTACTAGCACTATTTCCTCCCACAGTGTAGTATCATTTTACACGATTACAGCTTTCTACACACATAGCATACATTCTTACCAAAACCACAAGCCGTTATATTTTTCGATCTTCTAAAGTTCTTAGTCACTATTCAAGCCCCCTCCCACCCTGGTGAATGCGGCAAAATACATGTCGTATTAGCAACTGTTCGCGATGCCGTGTATCGAAAAATAATGAGAATTCATTTTTGAATTTCCACCAACCATCACAGTCGTAATTTACAACCTTCGTAAACCCTTGATTTTACACAGTTCCGTATGAGATGATGGTAGAATTACTCCCCACTCAAACTGCCGAGTCGTATTTTTTTAGTTATCACCTCCGACAAGATCCAGCGCGAAGACTGATGTTTGGTTATCACACAATACTATTAGAGAACCCCATCAGACCATTATTTCAATTTTATACTAGTACCAAAAATGCGGGAATATATGTTCGGTTTCCTCAACCGAGCTTGTAAGTTTCCTCACCAAATCATGAAAATCCACACACTATTTTGGGTAGAAGTGTACAAATCTAACGACGATTTCTCAAAATTTCCTCTCAGAATTACCACATTTCTACCAACACATGTAATTGACTACCATGTGCATATATTCCCCCCACCCAGCTTGGGTCACCTCCTTACATCCGCTAGTAACCTCATATACCACACCATGAGAACATCACAAGTCATCCTCCTCATCAACCGTATAGAATTCATCAACAACAATAACGAATCTTAGCGGGCATCCAACTCCCGACGGTGACAGACAATACACGACTGACAAAAAATTATTGCTATGAAAACATGATGAGTTTCCCGCGCTGATTTCTAGTCGAGGTATAGACAGTTACTGTACAGGCTGCCATAGAGTGAGTAGTGAAATTGATTTTACCCTTTTTCTATCAGTTCACGTAGCTCGTAACGGCTTGTTGAGGTTACATTTTGAAGTAATACTACAGTCGCTGATTTTCTAAAATTACGGTACTCACGGGAAAGTAAAAACTTTCGTGTGGAAATCGAAAAGGGCTCGACGTGGCACGCACGAAAACGGTGTTAAGAGTTTCGCGTTGAGGAAATGCAAGATTGCAAGATTTTATGTGATCTTCAGCCACATATCCGAGATGATTGTTAATTCATCCTGGTATGGAGCCTACATCGACGACCAACATCGAAGCATACCGTAAAGGGGGGAACGCTGAGTTGACGGTAGGATGGTAAGAGATGGTTAATAACAGTGTTGGAATATGTGTTTGGTTTTCCCACTATTTTATGAATATTTATACACGAAATAGAAGTGCATAACCACCAACGACAATTTTCTCAGAATTTCCTTATTGTCATCAACATGCGTATATTGCCATCCTATTATCGGCCCATAGACCACCTCGCATAGTGGTAGTTCCTATACTTCATATCAACGACTGAGGCAGGTCCAAGAAATCCACAACTTTCTCTATGCATACGGGTCGGACGATAAGGCCCTAATCCACGGGCGAAGTTCATCATCATCATATGAGCACGGCATGAGAAGAGTGAGAAGGTAGGCTGATACTCTAGTGGGTGTTTAAACAAATTCGAGATCGGACGATATTTAATGCAATACCGTAACACAATTACTTTTTGGTAAAAATGATAAAGTAACTTGGACAGAATCGGTGATGTAGTCAAATAAACTATTAATGATGGTTCCTCTACGCCCTCGAGGGGCTAAAGGTGACCATTTTAGATTTGGTCGGCTATGACAGCGCACACCATTTAAAAATCGATAGTAGACCGATGAGCAGCTCGCATGAGCAAGCATACTCTTACATAGAGTTCTTAGTCGTTACATTGACACCAGCCTCACGTTGTTCGATAACTTCACTACTTTTCACGGGGATCTCGACGTCTGCTGCCTGAGGAGACTTGCCTCTTCTTTTTCTGAAGAGAGGCCAGAAGCAAATGATAGTCTTGGGAGTATTCGTGTCACCAGACTCATCAATACGCTTGTTCTCCTCCTCCAACATTTCACGTTTGCCATTACCATGACGGAAGATGACAACGCCACTCATAATAACGACCAGAGATAACCATTCAAACCAAGTGACCGTATCAGCGCCAACCAAGGGCCAACTAATCAATGACATGAAAGCAGACAAGGGCACTGTGATCTTGAGGCTTACAAATGTTAATAGACTAGACCCGTATGAGACCAGTAGATAGATGGTGATGTTAAAGCAAACGTTAATGACCATGTAAACAACGAATGAGGACATAGCACCATGAGCATGCAGTAGAGTGTCGAAACCAGCTGCCATGACGTCCAGTACGTTCTCATCCGTTCGAACCATTTCGACCATAATTGATATCGGGAAAACCCAGATGATACCAAACGTGTGATTAGAACTACTCACAGCAAACACGTCTAAATTCTTCTGTTTGTAGTTGTGCTTTTCCGCAAAGGCAGTATAGTCGCGGAACATGTACTCTTTTATCACAAATCCTAGAGCTTGGAACATAGTAGACATCAGACAAATGATGGACATACCAACACTGCTGGACCCCTCACTGGTAGAAGAGGTAACAGCAGAGGCAATAGTCATGGCAACGACCAAACTAACACCAAAGAGCTCTTGCAAAGTGTATCTTGCTGCTAGGATGAGGCAAGACCAGATCAAGGTGAAGGGGACCATACCTTGTTGAAGTAGATTGAAGACGATAATAGACAAATAAGGTTGTGTCATGAACATAAAGTTATCGCCCATCACGTCACTCAGCGATGAAAAGAAAGTGTACTTGATACCAGGCAGACGTGCCCACCATCTCCTCAGACCACGTTTGGAGGGATCAATGTCTTCGTCTTTTCGAGGTGTCCATACCCAGAGGAACTCCTCTTTGGTAACAAACCCGAGGAGAGCCTTTCCACCGAGAATACTCCAATACACGGTAAAGTAAACAAACTGGCCGATGATACTAGTGACAAAGCCTGAGTACTCTCCAAGAGGCTCAGATCTTATTTTACCAGCAACAGTGTTGAAGGTACCAGTGATAACCAACATCACTATGAGGAAAGGTACCAGCCATTTGCCGAGGCGGTCCTTGAAAGAGGTCGATGGTCTCGCCACCTTATCCTCTTTCTCTAGACGTTCCAACTCAGAAGGAGAGTTCGTTGGAGCCTTTGTCATGACAAGAAAGAAATGAACTTATAGAAGATACAAATACTTTCGACCTGATACGAATGAGTGGTACAGCACTAGCACCTCTAGCTTTGAGGTATCATAGCCCACTAGCGGCGATGGCTAGCACTCTAGCCCAACTTGAGGTATCTCTTACACTGGACTCATATCAAGTCTCACCGCGGTTCGCCGGTAAAAGACTTGGGGTGACGGAAATCTCTGTGGATAGCATAAGGAGTGTAGGAGACCCTAGAACCTTGTCATGAAGTGGCAATCATGCTTACATGATGTGTTGCCCTCATATACACTATTCGTCAATCCTGTGTGCTCTCATAACGTGTGGAGCTATGATTCGCAGTACTCTTTTCCTCCACGGCACAATACCTTTCATCGAATGCACACATAAGCTCGAAAAAAGTATGTAAAAGTTCTGAAAGAAGTTCAACGATAGTTCAGATAGAACACTTCGAACATCCGTGAACTTCATCATAAGACAACTATTAGAGCGAACGTCTGAACATATCACCACCATTTATGGCGGATGTCCACTTCACATACGCAGTACAGTTTAAACGATTACGCACTTTAGTCGTGCTGTCCGTATACAGTGAACGTATGCATTGTTTTGACCTCCGATATGCACTGATTATCAACTTCTTGAGCCAAACATTCTCCCGCTCGACGACTCCAGTAGAGGAACTGTCAACACAAAATTATTACCTAGATAGAAGTGATAAAGGGCATGGTAGAATGCGTGCAGAATTGTCGAGACATACGGCCCGCAACGAAGGAATGGATAAGAGAATAGTCAGTATAAAGTAATATCATTACAACCCGCAGGCAACTGGCCAATATAATGAAAGATTAAACAGAACAATGACCGTGTTGAACACTGATCCTAAAACATACGTCCATACAACGTCATTAATAGTGTTTGGCACACAATCATCAGGGCAAAACAAGGCAGCATATTATCAATCTCAAGCAGTGAGAGTTAGGACTACTCAATGGAGACCATGTTATATGTTCACTGCAAGAGGTAGTCGTTGAGCTTTGTTACGATCAGACCATACATGCAGGATCACTTCAGAGGTATTTCAGTAGCCTTACCATCAGACTCTATATCTGACAACACCGACTCCACGTCGACAGTCCTAGTACGGTTCTCATGAGGTACACCATGCGGTCCACAACAGGTGGTGTTGATCACAACGCCCTTGTTAGGGTCTTCACCCTCTCTAACAGGCTTCCGATGACGGAAAAAAGGCCAAAAGCAGATGATAGCCTTTGGTATCTTCTTATTATGAGTCTCGTCCAACCGCTCATTCTCAGCCTCAAGTTTAAATCGGATGCCATTACCATGCCGAAAAATGAGCACACCAGCGAGGATGACCGCCAGACACACCCACTCAATCCAACTGATAGTATCAGCACCAATAAGAGGCCAACTGACAAGCGACAGAAATGCGGACAGAGGCACTGAGAGTTTGAAGCAAACGAAAGTGAGCAAACTTGAACCGTAGCTGATAAGGAGGAAGACAGTGATGTTAAAGCACACGTTGATGATCATGAACACCACGAAGGCGGGTAAGGCGCCTTTTGCATGTAGGAGCGTTTGGAAGCCCTCACCCATAGCATCTAGCACATTGTCAGACGTCCTGAATGATTCTACCAAGATGGAAATCGGGAATACCCAAATGATACCAAACGTATTGTTAGAACTACCCACGGCGAAGACATTGAGTTTCTTGTTTTTGAAGTCGTGCTTCTCAGCATATCGTGCATAATCGAGGAACATGGCCTCTCTTATAACTTGTGCTAGAGCCTGGAATAAGGTTGACAGAAGGCAGACAATAGTCATACCCACACTGTTCGATCCACCTGACCCAGTCGAGACCACAGCTGAGAGGAGTGTCATTGCAACAACCATACACACTCCCAATAACTCTTCAGAAATATACCGTCTTCCAAGTAGAATGCAGGACCACATTAAAGTATAGGGCACCATTGCTTGTTGGAGAAGGTTGAAGAGGATAATCGATAAGAAGGGCTGAGTAAGATACATAAGATTATCTCCGAGTACATCACCCATAGATGAGAAGAAGGTATATTTGATGCCAGGTAATCTACTCCACAACCGGAGGAAACCCTTCTTAGACTCGTCAGCTTCCTTTCTTGGGGCCCATACCCATAGGAACTCTTCCTTGGTCATAATGTCCTTATGTGTGAGCTTACTCAGCACAGACAGAATGATCAAAAGAGACCAGTATGTGGTGAAATATACATATTGACTTATAATACAGGTAACATAACCTGCTGCTTCTCCCAACGGCTGTGATCGAATCTTCCCCGAAACAATGTTGAAAGTCCCAAAAGTAACAAGGAGGACGATAAGAGTGGGAACAAGCATCTTACGCCATGTAAACCTACTTCGCCACGAAGTCTTATCTACCACCGACACCTTGTCGTCAACGTGGATGTCGCCGTAACTGCTGCTACTCGGATGACCCGAGTTAACTGCAGATGATGGCATTTAGAAGAAACACAAAGATTGGACCTAACATTGATTGCACATAGCACGATCTCAGAGTAATCCTTGGAAGTTATCAAAACCATTATTACTATCAAACTCATAAACCAACTACAGTGCTATAAGTGAAATTTAGCTATCGGATAGAACTTGGCACAGGAAGGCTAGTTCGCTAGCTCAGCCTATGATGTCCCCTCTCTTGGTTTTTCGGCAGGCATCGTTAGGTGCTCTCTCTATCTCATACCGCCTTCTGAGCGGATACATATTGTCATGCCATGGAACAGATCTTCAAGATAGCGAGCCTGTTGATAGACTGAAATTTGGGGTTTTCACGATACGAACTTAAGGGTGTATAGACAAAGATATTATTAGGATTCTCTATCCCTCTAGCGATCCATTGCACAAGGGGAGTTGAATCTAAGCAAAACACATTCGTTGTCACCGCTGTTAATTGATTCCATTCCTGAAATTGCCTACTGGGAAGAGCGCGCCTGTTGAACGATTGCAGTCGAGGATCGCTGTTCTTGACACATCCGGACTGTCCAACACAAAACTGCATCCATGGCCATAGGCTATGATGTCTACGGAATTGTCGTAGCATACGGTTTGTATTTGCAGAAATGATGAAAATGAGATTGTCTCCTAACACATCAGCGATGGGCCAGAAGAAGGTGTACTTGAACCCTGGCAGTTTATCTGACCACCGACGGAAGCCTTTTTGTAGACACATCGACATCTGAACGTGGGGTCCATACCCAGAGGAACTCCTCCTTGGTCATGATGTCCTTATGAGTGACCTTACTCACGACCCATAGGAGGATCACCATTAGATTTCGAAATACACGACTGATAATACTAGTAACATAGCAGCCGGATGCATCCCCCAGAGGCTGCAATCGAATATTCTCCGCAAAAGTCCCTGTCACAACAAGGAGGACGATGAGAGTGGGGATAAGCATCTAATGTCATGTAAATCGATCACGCCAGGACGTCCTTTTTGGGGCCTTTTATGCTCGCATTGCTGCTCGATGCCCCTGGATTCACTGCTGGATATGACATTTTTCCACGGAGAATAAAATCCGAGATACGTCAGTTCATATCTGTGCAGCATCGCCAACCATTATCACTCACAACCAGGTCAGCATTCAAGCGTTTACGATCCTTCGTCCATATGATTCTCCCTCGGCTACAAAGGGACATGCTGCTAGTCAAGTTATTCCTTGCCATTGCTAGAGGACGCCTTACAACACAGTGAAGGCGTCATGGTTCCTGCGGATTTGAATCGAATAATCTCCCCCAAGTTTGAATGATATTAGTGCTACTAGGCTGTGTGCTGTTGTCTCTCTTCCTTCTACCCTTCATCATGGTTTAGATGCGCAACCATGGGAGCACTCTTCGAAGGCGTAGACTTACCCAAAGGTCATGTATCGGTTACCGCCCTCAAACCTCATGTATCGGACTGTGAGGGGCGTATTTCCATAAAGCTACTAGGCGCAGTCCGTGTGGGAATAGGATTCGGCGTCACAAAAATGGGACAGACTGTGTGGAGGGTGGGAAAATTGGGGTTATATCATGGGAACTTTTGGGGACTAATGCAAGGAGAATGAAGACCTTACGATAGGATTGCAACTTACGAGCCGAAAATCCTCAAGGCTTTAAGCGAGGTCTTCCAGAAAGGAACTCAGGAGCCACTCCTTATAACGCGTAGGAGGCCTTCACTCTTGGTGCTAGACTTAGCCTCAGAAGCATCCGCGCTGACCTCCTTAAATCGATGTTAGAGACTCCCGGTCTTTGTCACCGCTGGTGTCACCAGGATAGCAGTGATAGCATTCGAGCTCACAGATACACAACATGACCCCCATCCTACTGCGTATTGCCAACTGTCCCCAACTTGACTATTTTCATGTCAGTACAGCTACTCTAGTCTCTACGCCTGTCTTAGACTTGGCCTATCCAGGGAGCTCGGCTCCAGGATTTAGAGGAGATTTATTTGGAGCGGATAGAGCTGCTGAGATACCGTCGCTGATGACAGCTGAAGACGTCTTGGTCGTTCGGGGTAAATGCACCGCAGTGCATCGAGGGTGGTTTCGTTTCAAGTGGAAATACGATGGTTCCTCAAGGCATGTTCATGACCAAGATGTTTCTGTCTACTGTGTGTTGTGTTACTGTAGTGGTCTACACGGTTCAGCAGCTCGCAGTTTGTTGATGACGTTGATTCGATCAGTACGGGTACAGCCGCAATCGCCAGTCTGCACTAGGCTCTTCCTCAAGATGTTTGGTAGTGGTATATTACAACACCCTGAATACGCTGAGGGGCAGCTTGTCACAGTAGGAGGAGGTGTGAGGATGGGAAGAGATGCATAATGCTGACAGGTGCTTCTGGAAACCCAAGAGGCGATGACGGTCGTATCCAAGATGACCAAAGAGACTTTGGAGGAAATAGACAGAATTGCCGCTGAGGCCGTAAGGCATTATCGACTCGAGAAGTATAGTTTACCTGAAAAATGATAGTCCTTGTAAGGGAGGAGGTCAGTAGTCTCAAAGCAGGTACCTGTGATAGAGAAGGAACTAGGAGACGTCAAATTCCTTTACGTCGACCCGTCCACATTTCGGTTGTGAGTGACACCCTTGCACGTAGTCGTCAGCTTTGTCCAGATGTGAGAGCTCTGGTGAGGAGGTCAGCCCACTGAATTTCGATCCATTCGATGAACAGCTCACTCGGAAGCTCGGATTCTCAGTGGTGGAGTTGGGCTGCTGCAGAGCTCTGGCGGTAGGGTTGCTGAAAGGTGATGGTTGTCATTCTTCCCCTAGGCACCAGGCTTCGGCGCTCGCGTGCAAGTGGTGTATTTCCTATTGTATGGTCCTTCGACTGATACCACTCGTGCTGTGCAAGTTATGACACAAGTCATGGATAATTGTAGATAGTTTCTATACCTACCCCTGTTGAGTCTTGAGTCAAGCAATACTCATCGATAGTATGGGTACGAGGTTAGTTATCACAGCACAAGCTAATTCCAGGGCCGAAGTTGGCAAACGTCGTGTCTACTTCCCACTCCGAGTTGAGCATGCCAACAATGTTCCAATGACGAACACGATGGCTCCGATCTGAGAGCAGCACTAATGACTTCATAAACAAGCCTCATTGGTCTCTTTACAAAATAGTACGAAATTCTCAACTTAGTCATATTGCTGGAGTGCAATGTCAAACTAGTCAACACAGCGCTAAGACAGCTTGATGAAGTCTTGGAATGACTCCGGGTATGATATCCGCTGAGTCGACTGCTACTAATAGGTCGTTACGGTAGTCAAAGAGAGAGAGGGAGCGAGGCTTTTCACCATGGAGCCATGCATGAGTTTTGACGAGTCATACAGTATCGATTCAATGTAAATTATCGGCGAACGTGTATATACTGTACGAACCAATCAGTGGTGAAGAGAACTCAGTGCCATCGAAACCTCAATGTTAACCGATCGTTACAAAGGATGTTGACGGGTTAATAAAAGACGTGTCTAGTCTCTGAAGGAACTGTAATAATACTATCCTTCGGAGCAATGCTAAGACTCCTTCCTTAATTCTGTAGTGTTCCTCACGTGTTAACCATATTTGACTTTGATCATTGAGTTTTGATTCTTGAGTCCTCAAACTGTGTTAACGCAAAAGCACTATAGATGAGATAGTGTAACCTTATTCTCACTGAATGAGATGATAAACAATACCAGTAAGAATTATGCCAGATTTTGCATGCCCATGCCATAGTCTAAATTAGCCACCGGAGTAGCAGAACGCTGAGACCGAGACATCGGCCCGCCTGCTGCTCCCATGGGTGGGGCGAGGACTGTTTGAGCTGAATGTGTGAGGTCTCCACCTAACATGTTCGGGTTGAGATTCTCTCGTACTTGCACACGCTCGACCCCTCCGTCCAAGTAGATAGTTTCAAGCTGCTTATTGCGCTTCTTACTCTCACCAGCCACCACTTCAGTCTGATTCACTTCGACATAGCGGTCAACAGTCTGTACTTGAGGCACCTCCACAACACGTTCAACGCGCTGGACTTGAGTCTCCTCGATGATCTTATCGACATATTTCCGCACCACTTGAGGTACCGGGACTTCATTGATCTTCTCCACATACCGAGGGACCACCATTTCGACCTCCTTATCGACGTACTGCACCTCGGGGACCTCAACCACCTTCTGTACGGTCCTCGTCACCGGCACTTGGACGTGCTTCTGAACAACTTGTGGAACATGAACGTCAATGATCTTCTCGACCTGCTGGACCACCGGGACTTCGACTTCTCGGTCGACATACTGCACTTGGGGAACATCCACGTACTTCTGCACCTTCTTGTGCACAGGGACGTTCACATACTTCTGCACAGTCTGAGGGACCTCGACGTCGATGACCTCCTCCACACGCTTCACAACAGGCACCTCGACCTCACGCTCCACCACTTGGATCTCGGGCACCTCAACGTCGACCTGTACAGTTTTAGTCACAGGAATCTCGACGATCTTCTGGACAGTCTGTGGTACAGGCACCTCGATGATCTCCTCCTCATACTTAACCTGAGGGACCTCGACTTCCCTCTCGATTTCGTGGATCTCGGGCACTTCAACCGTACGCTGAACGACCGTCTCGTAGACCTTAGGAACGTGCTTGTACACAACCTGCTCCTCGGGCACCTCCACAACGTTCTCGTGGTACTCCACCTCAGGAACGTCAATGACCTTGTCGACGTACTCAACGTAAGGCCTGTCGACCGGCACCTCGATCACATTCTCGATGATGTTCTCTTGGTACTCCACACGCGGGACCTCACGGACCACCTCCCGAACCTCGTATTTGGGGACATGCTTCTGGACCTTCTCAACGACCGGCACCTTCCTCTCAATGACCTTCTCAACCACCCTCTTCTTCTTCACCACCACATCCTGCGTATCCTGTTGTTCAATATCATCGATGATTCTACGATGAACCTTGGGTATCTCGATAACACGCTCTTGAGTGTGGATCACGGGCACTTCGCGCACGACCTCCTCTGTCTCGATCTTGGGAACACGCCTCTCGACCTCGACAATTTCCTCAACGATCTGTGGCACGTAGACGACCCTAGGCACCTCGACCACCTGCTCGACCGACTTGGGGATAACACGCTCCACCACCTCAGTCTTGGGCACGTGAATGACCTGCTCCACGATCTGCTCAATAGGGTGCTCAATAACCTCCTCAGTGATTTGGGGGATATGCCGGTACTTGGGCACCTCAACAGTCTGGTGGACCGACTTAGGGATGATGCGCTCGACAGTGGTAATACGAGGAACCTCAATGATCTCCTCCTCAATCTGCTCAACTGGAATCTCCACGATCTGTTCCATGACCTTAGGAATATGACGATAGATAGGCACCTTCTCAATGTGCTCGACATACTTCGGAATGACCCTCTCCTGGACCTGACGACCATTTCATTCTACATACGTGAGGCATCACGGAGGTAATCCCCCACCTGAATTTTTGGAATGTGATTGATTTGCTCGATGATCTCCTCCTTGGGGACCTCAATGATTTGCTCTACTATTTGCGGGACATGCAGATACCTGGCGAGACGCATCTACGACGGCCCATCTCAGGTGCCCATCTCGTCGACCTTGGAACTTTCTGGACCTTCTCGACAGTCCTAGGGATGATCTTTTCTCGAGTGATAGGACGTTTCACTTCAATAACTTCCTCACGAACCACTTCTTGAGGCACCTCGACGATTTGCTCCACAACGTGAGGGACTCTCACATACTTGGGAACCTAATCACATCGACGACACGAATGCTCAGCGTGGGAAAATACTTAAATCATCAACTATCTATGGTGCAATCCTGAGGAAATTTCGGTAAGTTCTTACTGGGTTCTGCACACTTCTACCCGAATTCGTATGAGAACTTCTACTGTGAGGAAACTCCTACACCCACGACAGCCGAGAAGAGCGACCGTATATTCCGACACTGCGAATGCCACAGTACGCTTACCTCGACAACCTGTTTGACAGGCCTGTGGGTGAAACGTTCCTGGACAACCTTCCGAGGGACATCGACGTTGACAACCTTATCGACCGTCCTCTGGACCACTTGCACTTGAGGTACTTCGACCACCTTCTCAACATACTGAATTTGAGGCACTTCGACCAACTCCTCGACGTATTGAACCTCCGGAACGTCAACGTAGACTTCGACGATCTCCTCCTCGACTTCCTCACGGACGTCCTGCTTGGTCGGTAGCTGTCGAACTTGTTCCTCTCGGACCTCAGTGATCTCAGGAGGTGCCGATTCCACCGACACCGTTGAGGTATGAGTGAGATGGTTGTTAGAGTAGGGATGCTGCATAGCTCCATAACCAGCTGGCTGCACAGGCTGGCCGGTTGGGTTGAATAGATTAGCTTGTTGGAACTGCCCGGCTTGATGATACCTGCTGCTGCTGCTTGTCGATTGACTAACACCAGGGGTCAAGTAGGGCTGTGGGCAGAAGGCCTGGAACGGCTGATACATAATGATGACCGAGAAAAGGTACTAGTTGCTGAAACCACCCGAGCTAATATTGAAGGAGACTACAACACGAAACTGGAGTAATAGTTCACAACACGGATATCAAATCCCATAACTTCATGTAGCAGACCTCAAATAATCGTCAGTACGCCAACATTCAACAACATTTTCATTATAAAAATATATTTCCAATCATCCACCGAACGACGACGGAATGCTGAAATCTCAACCGCTTCATTTAGCGTGATCAACTTAGTAGTAGGGCTGCTGACCATAACTGTTGAACATCTCCGCCAAGGATTTCTGGTTGAAACCCTGGTCCGGTGTCGGAGAGGACATACGCTGATCATCACGATGCTGCTGCTGCTGCTTCTGTTGGGCCAATTGTTGTACCTGATACCGACTCAAACTCCCAGGAGGGAGGTCATGAGTAGAAATCGACGTATAGATGTGGGCCGGCTCGGGGTCATAGGCAGTGCCATCAACACGCTCATGGAGTCGTTCAATACCACCCTCGATGCGAATAGTCTCCAACTGGGTAGTTATCGTTCGCTGTTCACCAGTGACCGTCTCCTCTCGAGGAATTTCAATGTACCGCTCGACCGTCTCGATCTGAGGTACCTCGACGACCTTCTCGACCGTCTGAAACACCTCCTCCTCAATGATTTTGTCCTGGTACTTCTGGACCCTCTGAGGAACCTTATGCTCCTGGATAACATCCACGTACTTGGGGACAACCACATCTTGAGGAATATCCACGTATTCGATCTGCGGGACCTCGACGTACTTCTGAACCGTCCGAACTTGAGGTACGCGAACCTCCTTCTGAACAGTTTTATTGATCGGCACATCCACGACCTTCTGGACTTGTTGAGTGATAGGGATCTCGATCTCCTTGTCGACATAGGCCACTTGTGGGATCTCGATGATCTTCTGAACCCTCTGGACATCAGCAACGTGGACGACCTTCCGAACCTTCTGTTTGAAGGGGACATCGACGTACTCCTCGACATACTCCACTTGAGGTATCTCCACCACTTTGTCAACATACTCGATCGTAGGCACCTCGATGTACTTCTGGACCTTGCGAACGTTGGGCACATGAACGACCTTCTGGACGTGCCTGTCGACAATCTCCGGTACCTCCTTGTAGACCACCTGTTCCTCCTCAATCTCGATGATCTTCTCAACATATTCGATTTGAGGCACCTCAACAACCTTATCGATGTATTCGATCACAGGGACTTCCCTCTGAACCTCCCTAGTGATCTCGACAATCTTCTCCTCATAGACGACCTTTGGGACCTCACGAATGACCTCCTGGACCTCGAGCTTAGGAACCTTCTTGTGGATCTTCTGCACGATCGGACGCTTCCTCTCGACGATCTTCTCGACCACCCGTTTCTTTTCAATGATAACGTCCTGGACTTGCTGTTCGATCTCCTGGTCAACGACAGTTCGAGTGACCTTCGGAACCTCAATGATCCTCTCTTGTATCTCACGACGAGGGACCTCACGGACGACCTCCTCAATGTTGACCTTAGGAACACGCCTCTCGATCTCAATGATCTCCTCGATGATCTCGGGGACTTCCACAATACGAGGAACCTCAATGATTTGCTCGACAGGGCGCTCGACGATGCGCTCGACCTTCTCAACCTTCGGCACGTAGACGATCTCCTCGTGGATCTCCTCCACTGGTATCTCGATAGTCTCCTCTGTGATGACCGGGACTTCACGGTAAACGGGGACCTCAATGATCGTTGCAACCTCCTTGTGAATAACGCGTTCGACGTACTGTATCCGGGGGACCTCGACAACCTCCTCGATCACTTGGGGGACCTTAACCTGAACGAGGGACGTCTGCGAACTGTTGGAACGATCAAAGACTTTGCTCACCTCGACGACCTCCTCCTCAATTTCCGGCACGTGTCGATTGACGTGGATAGTAACCACCTGCTTCACAGGCTTCTCGACGATCCTCTCTTGGTACTGAAGGGGAATCAATGATAATATCAACTACAGAAATGAGAACTGAAGTTTACCTGAACCTTCGGCACTTCGATGATTTCCTCTTCGATCTGGTCCACAGGCACCTCCACAATATCTTCAATGATGCGCTCCTGCTGTACTCGGACCACCTCCTCTCGAAGGCGAGGCACCTTCACGTACTTAGGGACCTGAGCATGAGCTGTCCTAGAAGGCTACGACTAGGAGCTCACTAACCTCGACGTATTGGATGACCGGCTTGTTGACGATCCTTTCTTGATGCACAACTTTAGGGACGTCAATGTAGACGATTTTCTCTACCGGTTTCTCGATGTACTGAATCTCCGGCACCTCGACGATCCTCTCAATGTACTGCACCATAGGGATCTCCTCGACCTCCTCAATGTATTGAATCTCGGGTACGTCGACAGGGATTTCGATGACCTCGTCTGTGATGATCTCTTGGACATGTTGGACCGGAGGAGCTTGAAGGCGTTGAACTTGGTGGATTTCAGTGACCTCGGGGTCCTTGGTGAGCCGAGTCGAAGAGTAGATAGGCTCTCCACCAGCCATGTGGTGACGTTGGTGTAGTGGGGAGAAGAAGCCTTGGGGCTGCTGCTGCTGGTGGTGAAAAAGGGATCTTCGAGAGTGCGACAAGTTGTCATCTTGAGGAGGTCCACCAGAAGGCATGCCCAACGGATTGAATAACGTGGGGGGACCGAAGTAATCGAAATACGAGGGAGGATTGGAGGCGGCCATAAAACGGTTGCACCAAGGGGTAACTGCCAATGACAAATTCCCGAATGAAACTCGAGTTCACTTCCACAAGCGAGTACGAGGAAGCCCATGAGTAGATCGACGGGTAGTCGAGGACTTTCAGCTTTGAGAGGCGAACTGCCGGCGAAAGGGATCTTTGGAATATCGTAGCGACCGCGTGCTCAGAAACCGTGATCTTGCGCTCTATGTCAATCGCGCACGCCATTCTAATCGATTATGCTCATCCGTGAGCACTCCACGTGCGAGGTGGTAGTTAAACTTCTTTTTCTTGCTCTTCAATTTGCAAAGCATGGGTCGCGACACCAGGAGTCGTAGCCGATCGCCGTACAGTAGGAGCAGATCACGAAGGGACAGATCACATCGCGATAGTAATTTGGAGGTGGGAGGAATCTTAGGTCGCGCATTGGAAGATACGGAATAGGTCCGCTCGTAGCACGTTTTGAGTGAGACATACTCGTGATGTTAGTTGGAATTGGGGTGGTATTCGGAATCTATGGAAGCTGATCGGCTACTACTACTACCATTCGACAATCACTCTTGGTAAGGCTATAGTCAATTTGTTATTTTTTCAGAGGATTTTCTCACAATTTTCACAGGTTCTTGGAAAATTTTCCGCAAATTTTACACTTTTTTCCCTATTTTTTTCAGGAAGTCGCGAACGCCCACGCGACCACCATCGTAGTCACAGGTCACATCGACATCAGTAAGTACCTACTATTTACTATTTTGTCAAGTGTCTTGCGGGAATTTTTTCAGCCGTAGTCAAGACCGCGATAGTTCCACTGAGCGCGAAAAGGCCCGTCGTAGAGCTCAGCGAAAGTAAGAGGCGTATCTTAGGTTCCCGAGTGGAAGATTCAATTCATGTCAGTTTTCTGAACAAGTCCTCGCAACAAGCTGGCAGCAACTCCAACATGTTCTGGGATGGTTTTCAGTGGATTCCTAAGATTGGCACACAGGACTCTGCACAGCACAACGCCACTCGAAAGAATCGGCGTTTATACGTCGCCAACCTGCCGATTCAACTTGGTAGGGTCAGTACGCACATGGTCAACTATATGTGTTTTTATGGGAAAAAATGGAAATTTTGGAAATTTTTCATGTACAAAATTGTGTGCAAAGTTGTAAATTTAGTGAGGAAATTCCTGAGCTCAGCTGAGGAACCGATATGCATATGGTCAGCTATATGAATTTCTAGGGAAATCGAAATTTTGAGAATTTATCGTTGATTTTTTTACGCAAAATTGTGTGAATTTTTCATAAGATGGTTGGGAAATTTACGAGCTCAGCTGAGGAAAGCGAACATATATTCTGACTGTGGTTTCAGGTCTCACCGAGGAGTTCCTAGGGCAACAGTTGTTTGCCGCGTTACGGGAGCGGGGCTGTGTCGCGACAGACGGACACAGTCCGGTATTGCATGTATGGTTCGCAAGGGAAAAGGGTGGTACGCATGCGCACGGTTGAAGGGGATTTTCTTCTCACCATTTTAGGCAATTATGGATTTGTCGAGTTCGCCACACTAGAAGATACTGAGAATGCTCTGACCCTCGACGGTGAGCTGCTGAATTTTGTGGCGCGCGGTAATTTTTAATCATGCAGGTCTGGTCGTAATGGGCGCTCCTATAACCATACGTCGGCCATCTGATTACCAGGACTCCACCGTTCCCATGCTCAACGACTCAGTAGTGGCAGCAGTCGCTGCTGCTTCTAATAGTAGGGCGATGATGGGAGTATTTCGAAGAGTGGTAGATTATTAGGAATCAATTGGTGTTCACTAAAATGAGTTTTGATATTTTGTCAAAATCATGGGTGGAAAATTGACGAAAAAAAGGAAAAAAAATTTTCCTGTTAGGTGCATCTGGCAGTATGAGTAGCCAAGCAACGAGTCGTATCGTCCGCTTCGCACAAGTAGGGTCCATGTGGGGGTATATTGCCTATACTTGAGTTCAGGTGGTGCGAGTGGGACCTAACACTACTAGGGAGGAATATAATGATGTCATCGAAGATATGCAAAGTGGATGTGGAGGCTTCGGTAAACTAGATGCGGTATATGTTGCTTCTGCTGATATTCATGTGAGTTTGTGATGAAAAAATTATCGTTAGTTGGTATCGGAATTTCAATGTTAGGATCCTTCTACTGAAGGCTTGGTCCTCGCTGCTGGTGATGTGTGTTTGGAGTACTCTGATCTCGGAGGTAGTAGATTTACATGTGTGGAAGTGTGTATAGATTACTCCTCAGGTGCCGAGGCATGCATGCGTGGTATGCATGGACGTAAGTATGATGGTCAAGTAGTGCACATGAGTAGTGTTGATGAGGAAACCTGGCAGAATCTGGCGAAGTGAGTTGCGATTGGTGTGGTAGTAGCAATGATATAGAGTATGCACATGGTCAACTTTGTGCGTTGATGGCAAGATTAGGAGATTATTGCCGTTTTTTGTACGCTTCTACCCTGGGGCGTGTGTGTGAATTCTCAGAATGCTCCTATAAGGAAACTCCCGAACATATTTTCCAATGATCGTTATGAATAGAATATACTAAACTAACATCGTATATTCATACTATGATTACCTTCATTGTGTTCATCGCATGTAGGGTCTTCAGTAGTAGTGTAGATGAAGTTGTTGTTGTTGTTGTTGGTATTTTTCCCGTATTGTAGACCGGTCCTTGTGGAGATGGACGCTGCCCTTGGTTTACTGTAAAACGGTGATCCATCTTAAACACCTGGTAGAAGCAGAAGCGGAGGAATTGTGGTATTACGTGAAATTATTGGTATTACTTCTCTTGTGTGGTCGTTTAGGGTTGCGTTCAGTGGCCACAGCGTTTGTAATACAAGCTTTGTATTATTCTATGAGCGAATCTCCAACTTCACTGTTGCCATCATATATAGCGATACCAGTAGCGGCGTTTCCTATATAGATTCTTGCTAACAGTTTTTATACTGCCGCACTGCTTAATACGACGTCACAGGTCTAAAGTACCGAGCCTTGAGAAGTCGAAGGGAAAGGGACATCGGTTTTGTGCAACGGGCTGTCTGCCTAGTACTGTTGGTAGACTCATGGTGGCCTATCATGAAGGTTCGGTGATGTTGGATGATTTACGGTATGAGTCATCGATGCTGCTTGTACCGATGGGAGTAGATCGCGGACGCGCTAAGTTCGGTATTTGACTCCAGCCAGTGGAGGTGTTGATCTCACGAAGGGAGTTTGCTCGATTTTGGTGACTGATTTCGTCATCATAAGGTGTGTATATACGGCTCAGTTTAGTAGTGTCTTCAACCTTGCTACGAAGAGTCCACAGTTGAGTGAGGTTGATGTGGACGAGAAGTGGCGGAATTGTGGTATTAGCGCGCATATACAGAACGCTGAGGCTCCTGTAGAGCGACGTGGGATTTGTAACTATTCAACTGGAACTACGGCTAGGCTTGAGAGTATGGCGCGAACCGCTTTTCGGATGGGAGGCTCTTTAGTGGTAGTAACGACGAGTATTAGGGTTGCGATGAGTCGCCATCAATGGAAAGGCGACTCAGAAGCACAAGCACTGTGTAGGGGTTGTTGTTTATACCCCTACAGGGGTGCCCTTTCACAGCTGTGTGAATTAAGCATTAGGGAACATGTGGAATGTAGAGCTGAAGGGTACTTGGGAGGAATAATGGCTGTCTCCGGTGATGAGTTCACCATGATGATCAGTGATAAATGTATTGACTTCTCTTGAGCACACTGTAGTGGGTCTGAGTTGAAGCATTTGATCCTATTGTTTCATCTGCAGTGTAATTACGATTATGACTTCGCTCCGCCCTAATATTATTCTGCTCAAGCAAGGAACGGATTCTTCCCAAGGTGGAGTTGTGGTCATTCTGAGGATTTGGTCTTCCGAAGTGGTCATTTCGTTTAGGTATTCCTCAGATTATTTCTAACATCAACGCCTGTGAAGTGATTGCGGATATCGTCCGCACGACGTTGGGTAGGAGTTGGAGAAGGAGTGGTATGAATAATTATTAATCCGTGGGCATGCGTGCAGGTCCGAGGGGCATGGACAAGCTGATTCATTCAGCGAACCGCGAGCCGACTATCACTAACGACGGGGCTACTGTCATGAGTTTACTTAATATCAGCCATCCCGCGGCTAAGTTGATGTCGGACATCTCGAAGGCTCAGGATGATGAAGTGACGGAAATGTGGTATGATATATTCGGCGATTATTACTCTTATCAGGTCGGAGACGGCACTACGTCAGTGGTATTGCTCGCAGCTGAGTTGTTGAAGGAAGCGAAGATGTTCCTGGAGGAAGGCCTACCACCTCGGGCTCTTCTTAAGGGCTATCGGAAGGCACTTGAACTGGCACTGGGTAGTTTGGGGTTGCTGGAAGCGCTCGCCATTCTAATCGATATTGTCATTTTGGAGATTCACTGATTGTAGGATGTTTTCTCATCGGCTAGGGAGCAGTGGGTACTTATAATTATTCCTTTGATGGTCTCATGTGTCGATTGTTGGTGGAAGTGTGGTATTGGGAATAATTGAGAACTGTTGCTGTAGACAAACTCGAGGAGGTTGCAGTAGATCTGACGGCCAAGGCCCCTGAGGAAAAGAGGGCTATGTTGGTGAAGTGTGCTGAGACTACTCTAAACAGTAAACTTGTTAGTGGTCAGAAAAAGTAATAGATTACTCCATTCCTGGGCGGGTGAGTTCTGATGGATTTTAGGTTCTTTTCCGACATGGTGGTTTCAGCGGTACTGATGCTTGACCAGGACTCCCTCCCTGTCAACATGATTGGCTTCAAGAAGGTCCCGGGTGGCTCCCTGACTGAGTCGAGACTGGTTGATGGAGTAGCTTTCAAGAAGACTTTCTCGTATGCTGGTAGGTTGTCATACCACTCCTTCCCCACATCACGTTCGCAATCATCAGGTTTCGAACAACAGCCGAAGTACTTCAAGAACCCGAAGATTCTCCTACTCAATTTGGAGCTGGAGTTGAAGGCTGAGAAAGACAACGCTGAGGTGCGTCCTTCCTCCTCCTCCCCAACTGAGTTCAATTAGACACGCAGGTGCGCATCTCGAATCCGGATGAATACCAGGAAATTGTCGATGCTGAATGGAATGTGATTTACGAGAAGTTGGATAACATCGCTAAGAGCGGCGCTCAAGTGGTCCTGTCTCGTCTGCCGATCGGAGATCTAGCGACTCAGTATTTCGCCGATAGAAATATATTCTGTGCTGGTCGGGTCGATCAAGATGATATGAATCGAACTCTGTTGGTGAGATGCATTTAATGTTGGTGTGAGTCGAAGCTTCTGCAACAGGCTGTTGGTGGTTCGGTGCAAACGACTGTAAACGGCCTCACTGACGATGTTCTCGGTACTTGTGGGAATTTCGAGGAAATCCAGATTGGAAATGAGCGCTACAACATCTTCCATCAGTGCCCTCAATCTAAGAGCGGTAATAATCAATTTGATCATTTTTCTATCAGTTTTGTTCGCAGCAACCATAATCCTACGCGGAGGCGCTGCACAGTTCATCGAAGAGGCTGAGCGCTCTCTTCACGATGCTGTCATGGTCGTCAGAAGGGCTCTCAAGTGCTCCAAGGTGAAGTTGATTTTCTCCGTGTGTGTTGGTATGTATTACTCAGATCGTCGGTGGTGGCGGGGCTATCGAACTTGAGCTTTCGCGATATCTACGTGAGTACTCAAGGACGTGTACAGGAGCCGACCAAGCTGTTATTAATTATTATGCAAGGTGGGTCGGCTTGGTGGGGAGTTGTGGTTGAAGGAGTTGCCCTTAGGGCGCTCGAGTGCATCCCTCGTACGTTGGCTAAGAACAGCGGTGCTGATGCTACTGACCTGCTGAATAAACTACGTTATAAGCATGCAGAGGGTGGGCCGGTGTAATTTGATGGGAGTTCAGATTGGTGTGGTAGTAGGATTGGTGGGCCGATGGTATGGTGTTGACTGCTATAATTGCGACATTACTGAGACTGTGGAGAACTTCATTTGGGAGCCAGTCGTGGTGAAGCGGAACGCTCTGGCGGCAGCGACTGAGGTACTACGACTTGGTCGAGGGGACTACGTGTTGGTGTGAGTGAATAAATTCTAGTTGGTTTTTTGTACACTTTTACTCGTGATTTTCATACTCATCCTCAGTGAGAAAATGAAATATAAGCACCAACACTGCAGACGGGATGAGTTTTTTTTCACTCTTTAGGCGGCTTGTATGATTCTTAGCATCGATGAGACGGTTACTAACCCGAAGTCTGAACAACCTGTAAGTCGTATCTGCTTCGCTCCGCTGTGGATTATAGTACTTTAGGGCGGCGGCAAAGGAGGCATGCCTATGGGCAAAGGGCGTGGTATGATGGGTGGTAAAGGAATGGGTCGTCGATAGAGACGTGTTGTATGGATGATAAATACCCGAGTGCTATCTATAGTATGCTTTTCTACGAGCTCTTTGCGTATTGTGTAGTAGTTGGTACCGGGGCAGAGGTTGGTTGTGAAGACGAGTCGTACTCGATTCATACGAGAGTTGAGCCGGTGGTTAGAATCCTCTGGTTGATGGGTTCCGCTACTTGGCGGAGTGGGTGGATCTATATGCTGCAATTCAGATCATTTGGGCATGCATTATTTCTCGAGAATTGCGGAAAAGTTCGATAAACTCGGCGGAAAAACCAATGGAGTAACGGCTATAGCCGTGAGAATAATACGAAATCCCCGTGGGGTGCAATTGTAACTAAGGTTGCAGGGAAAGCATTTTTTGAAGGTAAACTTTTGATCCTGGGACCAACTTGGAGCATACAGGGTGAGTAGTATCTCTCGAATTAGCCCGAGGTTAGCACCATCAGGCCTTGACACTTGACTCGTCGTGGGGACAGTAGACATGAATTGAAGATGGTCATTTCGAAAGATTAATACTGTACCTTTATTGTCATTGTACTGGAAATCATGGAGTGCTCAAAGAACTATGGGTTGTACGCCACGACAATCGGTGTCTCAATCATATACTTTAGCTCTCATCAATTAGTACCCAACGGGTCTAATTGGTTGTGTTCCTCAGTCTCTTGAATCGACATCGTCAAATCCAAGATATTGCGCTCAATCACGTGTATGGTTATGATGAACAGAATGGGCGAATAACGCTATGCGGATGTCGCCGAAGTCGGGGAGGAAGATTCCATTTACAAAGGTGGTTTCAACTTGTGCTGATTTGTGTGCGAAACGGAGTGGATGAAAAACGATTAGCAAAGACTGGACAAGCGGAGGAGATTCAACCAGTGTGAAGGTTGATATCCGACAGTCGGTATGCTTAAAATTACAAGGACTATATCAGAGTGACCTCTCAGCGTTGGTCTTCGGGGGGCAGAGGAGTGAGTAACTCCGTATTCATGGAAGCAAATACTGTACCGTCATAACCCGTACGACATGACGTTCTTCGCAGAAGTCCTACATGATATTCACTATTCCTCAATTCACTATTCGCCAATTTACTATCAACTCGACTTGCTGATTTTTGTGTGTGAAATAGATGAAAATGTGCTCATAATGCTCTACCACCTTTCGCAACAGTCTTCAAGGTAGTCATAGCTGAACATAGAGTCGTCCCTCAGTGAGCATGGGGAGGGTAAAAGGAAATAAAATGTTTGATATTAAACGGGATAGCTATTTGATGAAAAGCATTTCCTGATATGTGGGAAGAGGCCAATATTCATCAGATAAAATTTGCTCCAGGGAATCAACAGTAGCCCTCAGATTTTTCATAGCCAATCTCATCTCATCAGCGGCGAACCTCGCATGGACCATCGGATCCTCACTGCTGTGCTTGTGGTCGATCTTAGTCTTCAGAGCACCCAAGGCCTTACCAAATTGCTCTATCAGTTGGCTGACCTCGTTCAACCTAGTATTGGTGAACTCGGGGACCGAACCAGTGGCCAACTTCAGCTTAGCGACGTTGTCGGCGAGATCTGTCTGATACTTGATACACGCCGGCAAAATGACGGTATCTGTTTGAGCGAGATGGTCAGTGAGACCTGCAGTAGCTACCTAACTTACTGGCAATTCTGTACGCGCATCGAGCTTCAACTGCAATACGATTGAAATAGATCTCCAGTAAAATATTCTTCTTCGCAGTGAGCTCAGATCGGCTCATCACTCCGCAGCTCTCGAACAAAGTGATAGCTTCGGGAGTCGCAAACTCGGCGATGGCCTAATAATATAACAACAACACTATCCACCCAATCAATTTGATAAAGCCCCCCCCCGGACCTCAGGAGATTTGACGAGATTCTTCAAACCGCGTCTGGCAGCTTCTTCTTTCCAAGCGTCACAATATCCATCACCATTGAATACCACACGTCCATGGTCTCTGTAGACCTCACTGATGATGGCCTTAGCGGCTTCCTCAAGATGCATACTCTTGGTACGCTGTTCAAGGAGACTGGCAATGTACGCCAAACTCTGGGCCATAATAGTGTTCAGCACGATCAGAGATGGTGACAAAGACTGGCTCGAGCCGACTGCTCTGAACTCAAACTTGTTACCAGTGAAAGCGAACGGACTCGTCCTGTTTCTGTCACCGGCGTCCTTGTTGAGCGATGGAAGCGTCTTAGCACCCAGGGTCAATGAAGTGCGCTTCACTCGAGTCTCCAACATGAACTCGCCCGGACCACTGACGCCACCCTTAGTCGCCGACTTGATCTGTTCGAAGATGTCATAGAGTTGATCACCGAGATAGATCGAGACGATAGCAGGAGGAGCCTCTTGAGCACCTAAACAGAAATATAAAAATCCCACTTGATGATATGTCCCAGCTTACCCAAACGATGGTCATTGGAGGCACTAGCAACACTGCCACGGAGAAGTCCAGCGTGGATATCAACAGCTCGAATGACGGCAGCGATGAAAAGGAGGAACCTTGTGTTGGCTCCTGGATTCTCTGTGGGCTCAAAAAAGTTGCCTTGAGTGGAATTTCCAATACTCCAGTTGACGTGCTTGCCAGACCCGTTGACGCCAGCGAAAGGCTTCTCGTGGAGAATAGCCGCAAAGCCGTGCTTTTCCGCGGTATTCCTCAGGACTTGCATTATCAAATGCTGATGATCAGACGCAATGTTGGCCGTCTCAAAAAGTGGGACGATTTCGAACTGACCGGGGGCGACTTCGTTGTGTCGGCACTTGATAGGCACACCGAGCTTGTAGAGTCGACTCTCCGTCTCGGTCATGCATGTCAGAATGCGGTCGGGGATAGCACCAAAATAGTGGTCGTCAAATTGTTGGGACTTAGGCGGCACCGAACCGAACAATGTTCGATCACATGTAACGAGATCAGGTCTGAGAGCAACGAGACGCTTGTCAACTAGGAAGTACTCCTGCTCAGGGCCACAGTAACTGGTGATGTTGCTGATGGGCTCGGACGCGGGAACGAAATAGGACAAAACGCGACGGGCAGCATCTTCAACGGACTGCATTGACCTTAGCAGAGGAATCTTGAGGTCAATGGCTTCACCGGTCCAGGAAACGAAAGCGGTCGGAATGCACAGAGTCATAGTCCCGCCCTTCTCCAACACATAAGCGGGCGAGGTGACATCCCACGCGGTGTAACCACGTGCTTCGTCAGTTCCTCTTATACCACCATTTGGGAAGGAGGAAGCATCCGGCTCACCTTGAATCAACGATGAGCCGTCGAACCTGGTGAGAGCAGTACCATCACCACTGGGCTCGATGAAGCTCTCATGTTTCTCAGCAGTAGAGCCGGTGTACGGGTAGAAGACGTGAGTGAAGTGTGTGGCGCCTTGACCGACAGCCCAGTCCTTCATAGCAGCAGCTACGGTATCGGCCAGTGAGGGGTCAAGAGCCTCGTGCTTCTCGACAGTCCTATGCATCTGTTTGTAGATGGAGTGAGGGAGAGCATCACGCATGACTCGGTCAGAGAAGACGTGCATGCCGAATGAATGCTTGGTCATCTTAGTGTCGACACCATAGGATAGATCACGATTGTGGTCGACGATAGCCGATACAGCGGAGACTCTGTTAGAAGCCATCAAAAAGGACAATATGTGGAAACCTATGAAGCTCTGGATGCGCACCCGAAAGAAACTATTATCATCCCCTTACTCCACGGGAACTGCAAAGCCCCTGAGCCGTCACACGTCACGTGTGACGCGAGCAATATAACGGATTATGCTCAGCCGACAAAACAGACCCCAGGAAATATACAGGTGTACAGAGTTTATACTATGAACAAATATCTTGTGCGGACCGTTGCGTGAAGATGAAAATGAATCATGAGCAACGCGAGTAGCGCAAGCCCGTATATTACAGATCTCGCTCGCCGCAGCGATCGATTAACGCTATTCATTTGCTGTTGGAGCCCTTCCTTACAGGTAGTCCCGTCAAAATGGCCGCGAAATCAGGCTTGGCTGCTGGCATCAACAAGGGTCACACGTTGAACGTGCGCCAACCCAAGGCACTTAAGTCTTCTTATTCTGCTAAGAAGCATCTCGCCCGTGAGGTCGCCCGTGAGGTTTGCGGATTTGCTCCCTATGAGCGCCATATGATGGAGTTGATCAAGATCGGCTCTGCTGCTAGCTTCAAGCGTGCTCTCAAGGTAGGTATCACTCTTGGGGTCTTCTATAGTGGTCGCGGGGATGGATTACTCCTGTTCGAGTTTGTTTACGGAATGATGTTTTTAGTACGGCAAGAAGCGTTTGGGCACCCACAAGAGAGCTAAGGCGAAGCGTGAGGAGCTCCAGGCTGACATCATGGCCCAGCGTAAGAAGGCTCACGCCGCCCACGCCCATCACTAAGTGGAAACGCTCAAGTAAAGGCGACTACGACCTCTCTGGTTGGCAGCTGCGGTGCTTCCAATGCTGTTTCCAGTGCTCTTCGACGGGAACTATTCCCCCCCTATTGCATTGAGTTCAGTCATGTAGGGTTCATCGTAATTATGCAGGGATTTGTTGAATCGCGGTTTGCTCTCCAGTAGCTCTGCGCGAATTAGGCCTGCAATAGCAAATGGAGGCTGATTAGCGGCAATGTAGCGTAACTGTTGTGATTGCCGTCAGTCGTCTGATCAACACCTTACCACTCCATGATGACTTCATGTTATGCATAGTTCACTCGTATTGTTAGTGACGATTACCATAATCACCATCTTTCGTCTGAGATCTCCCTATTGTTACTCGTAATGATGATTTTGTTCGCATAGTTCACTCGTATTGTTAGTGACGATTACCACAATCACCATCTTTCGTCTGAACACTCCCTGTTCTCGCCTGTTCATACTACCTGGTTTGGTTACTTCGTTGCCATCAGGAGGGAAACGCGGGCCACACCCATTTCTGCTCTCGCTCCCATTACTGGCTCGCGACCACGTTCTGAGTCTGTTTAGTTTAGTGAGGCACAACCCGATCGTTTACGCCTGTTTATACTACCTGTTTTGGTTTTTCGTTGCCCTCAGGAGGGAAACGCAGGCAATACAAACTACTGCTTCCCATTTCCCACACCTTCATGTAAGGTTTCGGTTAAGTTAAGTCAGTTACATTTGAATACTTATTTGATCACCGATTTCTTTTCATTCGTTCCGCACTTAGGTCGTGTTAAAAGAGACCTTTCCATCGGGGCTCCAACAGTCGCATGACTCACGGTAGAAGTGTGCGTGAGGCAATCATTATTTCCGTATTATTCCGCTGATTTGCCGAAACGGCTTTAAGTGCTCCAGGATTTGATAGCAGAGTTACTGGCTTCGGCTCGCACTATCTGTATCGTACTACATATTGGATTTACAGCTCTACCACTCCCTCATTGACTTCCTTGGCAACATAGTTCAGACTGAGACAGGTATTCGTCTTCCCATCCTCAGGGGAGTCTCAAGGTTTTCCAACAGCGACCTCCGTCACGGACTCTGCGACCGATGATCACCTGCATCTCCACAACAGGATGAATATTCGCTCTCTCCTAGGGAGAAAGAGTCGGATACACTGAGTATGTGAATATCATAGTATGATGATCATATATTCTGCATACAAAGATACCGGCGGCCATTTGAAGATTCATGTTTTTCTCGACAGTTGAGGCATACATGGTCGCCAGGATCGGTTCAGCCAGACATGCTTGAGTCTCAACTTCGGAGTCTCCAGCGGTGCCTTTTTTCCCTTTCCCACAATATCAGCATCCCTTCCCTACAAAACACACCGCAACTCAGAGCTGGGTGAACGAGACTATGGTTTGGCTCTAACAATAGGAGCGTTGATGACATGATTGAATAAGCGATACGGAACCTCGCAATACATAGGCACCCATCTATGAGACAGGTTGATGCCTCTCGAGCTCACTGAGACAAACGGAGCTCTCGACTCAGACATATAAAAAGCATGATACACTGGTACTTTTAGTTTGGCTGGAACTCCCACACCCTTCTCGTGATATTTTGCGCTCCACCCCAATTGATATCTAGATCGAAGTAACCAGAAAAGTTCCAACGGTCATGACCAACTTGACGTATGGAAACGACGTGGGTGATCGTGGCATTGAGAGGGGGAGAAATCCCAGTAGTAACGGTCACTGAGTGGATATAATGACTCCCACCCGTCGTACTCACGAAGGCAACAGCAGTACCATTGCCGTGTGCCTTCACCGAGCCCACACCGGGGACAGCCACTTGAATACCCAGGGATGTAGGAAAATTTAGCACCATACCTCCTTGTTGAGGTTTTCCACCAGACTTCGAATATGTTGGAACCGAAAAAGTCGCATCTACCTTTCCTCCGTAACGCAAATGTGGCATGGCCGTAGTATAGCCGCCACCTGCTTGAACACCGACATCCGAGGGCGTTCTATTCACGTAGTACACTCCGAGCTCCATGGTAGCCAAATGTTTTGGAAAAAAGTGCGACCAGGAACCGATGAGGCACCCAGCACTTTCTTGATCATTACCTTTCATAACGTACAAACAATATGGAAACCATGTCGTTCCATCAGGTCGTAAACAATCGGCAGGTGTCTCCCTCACAATTTTCATACCGGGAGGGATGCCTACGCGGTTCTGGACTTGCGGACTAACATGAGCATTATTGGAGGCACCGACGAGAGCCGAGACGAAGATATGAAGTAGAATATTGAGGAAGGACATTGAACATGTCTTAAATAAATTTGAGCGTTGTGCATCAAGACTCCCTTAAGAACTCAAGTCCATTCTCATCGGACTCATTCGTGAGTCCGTCCCTGGAGATGACACCAGTGTTCATGCGATCTTGCATTCACGTATTCATGCGTTTGTGTGGCGCGCACAAGAGTATCGTCAGAGCAGTTTCACGGGGAGTAGGAGATTGATTCGATGAGTCGGGTTCTGAGATCTTCGCCTATTAGTAATACAGTAATGCATGGGCATGTCGTGTTCCATGGTATATGCGAACTCACGCTTTGGTGTAATAAATTTTTGATTTTTGTATCGAACTGGTGTCTTTGGTTGGCCATGCTTCATTTACTTAGAGCATCTATCTCATGTCGGAGACTCCAACACTTCACCGTGGAATGTTGTAGATGGCTTTCGTTCGATATATGGCTCAAGTGTCATAACTCTATTGGTGTTGCTCAGTTCATACTGATTGTGTTTGCAATGTGGAAAATGATGTATGAGGTGGTGGTAATATATGGGCAGGGATATACGGACGATAATATGCTACACAAACAATGAATGAGTCATCCTCCGCAGTGCCCAGATAACCCTCGAGGGTCGACACGCGCCCTGCCACAACTCGGTGGCTAGAGGTTTCAGGTAGCAGATCTACTTGGTTGTAGCAACTACACAACACGACGAGAGCCGAGATGGAGATAGGAAGCAGAATATTGAGGACGAACATTGAGCATGTCTCGAATGAACTCAGGCGGTATGCGTTCCACAAACCTTATATATAAATAAGCGGGTGTCATAAGTCGATTAAAAGAAGGAGACATCAATGGCCGCTGACGGTTACGGAGCCATGAAAGACCCGTCCCTGGAGTTCTCAGTTATCCTACTCGAAGAGGGTCTCTTCCCCCAGATGTATGGGGATGTGGTCGTAGGGCAAGTCCTCAAATGCCCAATGCCATCAACCAGGGCACTCAATAGATCTCACATGTAATGGCAGAAAATGACGCGTGTGCCCGCCATAGGAATCGAACCCGCATCCTCAGGTTGGAAACCAATGAACTCATCCAGCTGCACTAACCGAATGACTCTCATCTACTACTTCACATCCAGATGGTCATCAAGGTTGACTAGGCTGTGAATCCTGAGTGAAGGCCTGGGTACGAAGACCTGTCGTTGACCCTTGCTGACCATCGGATACCCTCATCTACCAACGAAATAAACCAAAGCCCTCAAAGATTCCGATTGATCACTGAACCAACACAACAATGACCACGAATCTAACCAGCGAACGCTCAGCTGATACGAGACGATGCAGGTACCAGTCGAGTAAATGATCGTCATAATCAGCAGCAACAGATTAACTCCAAAACCAATAGGATACTTCGTCACTTATACGAAAAACGCTCTTATTTTACGCCCGTTCATCTCACCACCATCGTAGTTGTCGATGGCTGTTTGGGCATCCTGAGCATCTGATAACAAGATACAAAACATGTCCGAATTTGGCCCACATTTCTTACTACCTCTGAACGTTACAATAGCCTGGTTGCCACCCCTCCGGCTCTCCTCAACGTTGCAAAACTCCACCGGTCCCACGGCTCCAAACGATTGCTTTACGTCCCTCCAGGTGAGGTCCTCGGGTATGTTAGTAATTTTTATAGTACAGCTCCCTGAGCTCTCCCTAGTGTAACCCTTCCCCTTCCCACCAAAGGACCTTCTCGTGTTGAAAGACCCTTTACCAGGTCGGACCCCCATAGCACGGGCAAACCTCTCAGCCGATTCGGCGCTCTCTGGTGGAGGCTTGGCAGCTTCATAAGGCTGGGACCTGTAGCTGCGACCGCTACTCCTCCCCTTTCCACCACTACGCCGCTGGCCGGTTGAAGGTGTACGTGGATGACTCGACGACCTGAGAACGTCTTCGAAGATTTGGGATAGCTGTAAGGGTTCTTACTTAACGATGTCGTCAAGGGACATTGACAGCTTATCAACCGTGGACATAGCAAGAGAGAGGCTCTTCGAGGTTGCAACCAACTGATTGGCCCGAGAAGATTCACTCCATCATTCCTGAGGTATATTTGCGGTCCCTAGGAGGTTCCTCACTACGTTGTTGGAATTCCCACAGAAGTGTTCAGAAACCAACGCCAAGAACTCCCCCAAGATTTCCCCCTTCTGGTCACACCGGATTCGACCAACGGCAGCGTGTTAGGTAAACTCCACATAAACAAACGTTTTTGATATAAAAATGTTCAGTATCCTCCTACCCTGCATGAGAAGTGCGCTTAGAACCGTTTGATGAAATCAGCGGGGTGTTCAGAGAACCCATTCCGAAACTCAGAACACATTCCAGAATGCAAAACACCAAAATCGCGTTCAGAGAACAGCCCCCCAAACACATTCTGGAAAGCGTTCCAGAATAGATTCCGAACGTGTTCAGAAAACTTTAGAATGCATTCTGAAACACGTTCCAGAAAGCGAAATCTCAGAATGCAAAAATTCCTTTCCGAGAATTTTGTGGCGCGCGGGAGGCCACCACGTTCGATAACAAATCAACAGATAGATTCTGAGAACTCATTCTGAGAGCGCGATTCGTTGAACGCGTTTCGGAATCGATTCCAGAATACATTCCGGAATATTTGGGAATGGAATCCTCTGAACACGATCCAGGAATCGATTCTAAGAATCGATTCTAAGAATACTTTCTGGAATGGATTCCGGCGGAATTCTCTGAACACCCCGCAGAAGTTTCAAGGCGTAACGACATTTCTCGGCGCCTCAAGGAAAAAACCAGCACGCACGCACATCGTTTTGATCAGAAACTCTCGTTCTTAGCCGTACCAAATCTCCGCATCGCCCGACACAAGCTCATCATCTCGTGTATGTTCCCGTTCGTCATACTGAAACATTTATCTTTATTACTGTCATATGATCGTTTTAACATATTATTCAGCGAAGTGTGGTATGATATACACTCCTGACAATTATCAACAAGAGGGAACAATTTGACGAGTACATGTGGCTTCTGCTATCTTAGCTGAAATGGCGCTAGTGATGCTGTGTTAGGCTAGGCTGTGAAGATGCTACTCGCCGAGATGGTAATTCGTTGATAAATCTTAAGGGAGCTAATATCGATTCAATGATGGATGAGAAAGTTGAAGGAAAAGTCTCGGATGTGGCCTAAAGTTTTTTCGTGTTTTCATTGTTAAGAATGCCCTCAGTGCAGTTCCCCCAGAAGTACGACCGTGTGTACAACTTCAGTGCAGGTCCTTGTTGTTTCCCTGTTGAGGTAAGTTAATTTTTCATAAGGTTTACTCTCTCTAAGACGATTAGTTGGTTGTTTAGGTTCTCGAGCAAGCTCAAGAGGAGATGCTGAATTGGCACGGGTGTGGTATGTCCGTTATGGAGATGAGCCATCGCGGAAAGGAATACACTTCTATCATCGAGGCCGCCGAAGCTGACCTTCGTGAAATTCTTCACATCCCTGATAACTTCAAGGTCATTTTCTACCAAGGCGGCGCTACGTTGCAGTTTGCTGGCATTCCCATGAATATGATGGGTGAAGGCAAGAAGGCCGACTACATCGTAAGTTGCAGAATCCTCACTAGGGTGTTTTCTGGACATGTCTCTTTTCTCAGGTGACCGGTCAATGGAGTGAGAAGGCCGCTAAGGAAGCTGCTAAGTACGGTGATGTGAATGTTGTTGTTAACACTAAGCCCGAGAAGTTCACTCATGTCCCCCGTATGTCCGAGTATAAGGATAAGCTCAGTTCCGATGCTAGTTATGTATACTACTGCATGAACGAGACTGTCAATGGTGTGGAGTTTGACTACGTTCCTGAAGTTGGTGACAAGCCGCTAGTCTGTGATATGAGTAGCAACTTCATGTCGAGGCCCATCGACTTTTCTAAGTTCGCGGTTGTCTACGCTGGTGCTCAGAAGAACCTCGGCCCAGCTGGTGTTACAGTGGTCATTGTCGATGAGAAGTACTTGAGTAACGAGATGCCCATCACTCCCACCTATATGAACTGGGCTACCATGGCTAAGGCCGGCTCGATGTATAACACCCCTGCATGCTACGCTATCTACATGACTGGTTTGTATCTCAAGTACACAAAGGCTCACGGTGGGCTAAAGCACTGGGATGATCTCGCTGAGAAGAAGTCGGGTCTTCTTTATGGAGCCATTGAGGAGAGTAACGGTTTCTACAATGCGCCTGTTGCTGAGAACGTCCGCTCCCGTATGAACGTTCCCTTCGTAATCAAGGATAACGATGATGACTTGAAGAAGAAGTTCCTCGCTGAGGCTAAGGAAGTCGGTCTGGTGACTTTGGCCGGACATAGGAGTGTTGGCGGTCTGCGAGCCAGTCTGTACAATGGTATGCCTTTGGAAGGTGTACAGCGTCTGGTTGAGTTCATGCACAAGTTCTATAACGAGAACAAGTAAACTCTGAAGCGTGATTTCATCCACACTTTAATAACATTGTCGAGATGAAATGGCATTTGTGGGCATCGTGTGTCAAGATAGCAGTTTCGGTAGTCTCGTCAGTGATTACTTTCTACTAATCAGTGTAGTCAGTCACGGTGTATTTATTCTTTCTATTATACTTACCAGCGCAATCGTTGTGTTGGAAGTTTCAGAGTGGGAGTTGTTATACCAGGGACGTAACATATAGAGGGACTAGATATTCGAAGTGAAGGGTCTGTTCACATTAGGGTTGTTATTTTGAAGATGTTCGAAATGCAGGAATACGGGTCGAACCGACCCGGTCGGTGATGCAAACAGCAAAGAAATGGCAAATCTCGATTTCTGAAGAAGTCTATGTATTCATGTTGAGTTTCCGATCTGTAGAGCTTGAGCATGCGTTGTATTCGTCGAATACAACATCGAATACTATTCGATGTTCTCAGCTGATAACATATGTGATGGCTCTCCCCGGGAGAGTCTCCCGTTACTACATAGATAACACAACACAAGTAACTTAAGGTGAGAATGTCAGAACTGAAACGACCAATGCCATCGCAGATTTGAAAAAAGACCCGACATTTAGCAATAGTTAACGATAACCGAGTAACTCGGTTGTCATACAGCACTGTGCTGTAGAACGGAATGACAGAAATAGTAAACGATAATCTTAAATTCAAGGACAGCATCTTTCGCAAAGTTTATCCGTGTCAAGATTGCAGTACGCTACTGTGCCCGTGCAAGGTAGAACCAAGCCTGGTACAAAGGACCCACCGATGCAGACTTTACACCAGTTGCATGTCGAAGAAGGTGAGCCAAGCCCGCGTAAGTCGTGACGAACGCTGGTTCCGAGGAAATCGGACATAATAATGACCCACATAAGAGATATCGTCATGTCGGAAGTGAAGAAATACTGAATGTGTATTGTTAACCACTCGCTTTGACTTGAGCCGTTCTTAGATATGGCCTGCCTAGTCGGCCCTAGCGATTCTATGCGCGCGAGTCAGACGCTGGGTGTATTGAGGATTGACGAGCCCAGTCCTACCTTGTTCGTGCGTGTAGTCTTGTGTACGTGCGTGCCCCGCAATTGATGGTGTTTTTCCCTGAGCCATTATATTGATTGACATTGATAGGCTCAATTTCAGTTTCCCTATTGAATACTTGTTTACTTCTATTATCAATCATCAATAGTGACAGGTCACCGGGTGTCTCGGTCTAATATGGTTAAGGAAGCTTGCTCTTAACGAGCACAAGCAAATGAAGAACTGAAGAAAGAAAAAGCAGCTCTTTTCATACAGTTCTTGTATTCATTCAGACCATATTCTACCTCAGTAAATCAATATTAAACGATAACCGATTAGTCACTCTCTGGTTAGTAGGAAACTCATAGGTGCCGAGGTTGGGACAAGGATACGTGAAACTCACTCACGCCCGCAAAATGAGAGCGTCTATCGATACTGGCTATAGGGATAGTAACCTCCTAATAATAGAACTCAATACACGACAAGTGAGCAGAGATAGCCTTGCACGAGAGCGAACGTACAAGGGAGCAGAACGTATCAGAATACGTATCGTTATAACTATGATTACGAACTACGTATGAGCTACTACTAGCTCTAGCTTTCGCAGCACCTTAGCACGCAGGAACAATTGTGTTCAGACCGAAAATTGGGGACAAGGAAACAATGTGGCACAATGGTCTAGCCACTGGCACAAAGGTGCGCTGATGAAAAAGAAATGCACGAAGAATGGTTCGGTTCGCTTTCCCCGGTAAAGTTTCCCGCCGTTCACAACGCTCGCAAAATGAAACGCTCATTCGCGCACACCATGAACCGCTCATGGGGTGCGCGAAATTCGCGCACTACTATTATTCGCGCATTCTTTATTACCCACCAAGTAGAACCATGGGTCCCGAAACCTCTACTTTGTGTATCACAGATAAGTTGCTCGTCATCAGAATTATGAACGGACCGAGGTGCATTGAGTGTTTCGATGTAGTTCCTGATGGTGATGATTATGAACTCTTACGTTGTTCCTTATTCAAGGAGTATCACTAACATCGGGTACTCTTGGTACGGGAAACCGGACCGAACACAGAGAACACAGACGAATCAACTGTAGAGATACTAAGACGTATTCGTAGAGTTACAGGTACAGGCAATTCAAGAAAGACTGAGAATTATGCTGAAAGATACACATATCGACGAGTCATCATCCTTATACGATTTATGACACATTTTCGGTCAATCTGTTGACTTCACATGGGATGGGAATCTAACAGTTTCGTGCTTGAACGAGTTAACTAGCGCACGCCCGACCGATCGATCATCGGATACTTCAATTAACTCAATTGGTAGAACTACTCAACTGAAAGGAAGAAAGAAATGGTAATAATGAACAAATGGAATCCTCCCCTGCTCTCGTCGCTATTGCCCTGCCGCTGGTAAACTGATGATATCAATGACGATTTTCTTCCCTTCGAGCTGCCACCGGGAGCTCATCCTCGAGATGACAGTAGCTGAGGAAATACACATCTTCACAAACATATACTATCGAGAAGCGGGGAGAATCCAATCATGACCATGAATTCGAAAAGAAACTATACAACTGCCATCGCATTTCGATATCGCGATACAGACTGTATCATACAGTTCAGCACAAATTCCTCGGCTGCAATTCGTCCGTCTGCGAGGTCCAACACATCCTCGAACGGCTTATACAATTACTGATAATTCTAAGTATTCATCTAGTATTCATATACCACGAGGGCTAACGTAACCGCAAGGCGAGCCAGGGTATTACTCAAATTGCGGAGCGAGCGAAGCGAGCGGAGCGTATTCTCTCACTTTACTAACACTTTGTGCGTGCGTGCGTGCGTGCGTGCGAACAAATTATCCAGCTCGATCTAGAGAGGATATGATCACATGCTATACACCATTCGATAGCTCTCGCTCTGGGGATAGTAGGAAAAATACGAAATTAGGGTTCCGCCCGGACCATGTAGATTTCCGTGCAAAAAACATATTTTTGCAGAAAAACGCCAGGCATGGGAATCGAACCCGGATGCCGAGCTCCGCCCCTTCGTCACGAAGGCCTAGTTGGAAGTCCTTCTTGATCTTCTGGGCCCATTCATCAGCATAACAATCGAAATATACATAAGTGCCATACTCATATTTGGGGTTTACCACGGACGGCTCACTGTGACGTTTGAACCACGTGCCTTACGGAAACAACTTCAAAAAAGTAAAGTCAACGACAACCTACCATATCTGCTATGGAACCTCCAGCTCATCCGCTTGAGCTCTCGGGCCGCAAGGTACCTACTTTGAATCTTGCCAAGGGCAACCTAAGATTCCTCAATACTACTGAGCGTATGTGCCAGGACGATAATAGAATATAAACTGCGAGGTTGATAGTGGGCAAAAATACAGCCGTAGGTCGTATTAAGCCCTATCTATCAACCGGTCAAAATCCATCGAGATCTGGCTCATCGGGGAACTACTTTTCCCCGATCCTCGTGGGACAACAAATTGTGCCACACGTTGATATCCTTCGCACGCCCAACGAAACGCTCGGATTCGCCTCAGTTATAACAATCCCGAGACGCCATTTGGCTAGTTCGGCCTCTCGAGACTTGTTTTCTTTCAGCTCTGTATGACACGAGAAGGTCTAAATCCACTGGCCGAATCAAGCCCCTTCACTCGAGGCCACCAACCCAGCTTAGTCTCCGGAACCACCTTGGCAACCAAGGTTGGTTGGTTATCGGTGGAGGGCAGCTCATTGTCCTTTTGTTTTATTTTGGCGTTGTGTTATGTTCCTCCAAATGGGCAGTGCACCCATGGAGGAACAACCCGCGATCGAAGGGATCGCGAAGCTTCGCACCGTGCGAAGGAGGTCGCCGGCGTTGTCTCCTCTATGACAACTCGAGCACCTCGGGCAAGACTCTCCAGGGAACGTCTCAGGACTGAACCGGACCCTTGTCCAGCGAGGGGATCCCACCACCCACTCGCAAATGCCCCTCCGGGGAGCATGTGAATCAATGTGACTAGTGTCTGGGACATCATCTGCTTCGTAGCAGACCGTCAATCCAACTCACGCAGTTGACGGTGAGACATGGTCGTCGGTCTCTTCTACACGCCCGCAACCTACTGCTGTGAGCGCCTCTTTGCTAGCTTACCTTGTCAGCTTACTTTGTCAGCTCTTCCTCCTCACACATGATGCCCGCAGATGACCAGCCGACTCGTGAAGAGATCGAAGCAGCCCGAGTCGCTACGATGATTGCCGGCAAGACTGACAACGGTGACA